AAGATGACTCTAATTCTCTGTTCTGGCACTTAAATTAAAATCATGTAAATAAAGAGTTGTTGCTGTTACGCAGAACATCACAGGTGTAAAAAAAAAATCATGAAGAAATGAATATAGTTGAATCCTATATTCCATAGTTCTCCTCTCTGACCCGGTAGAGTAGCTGTGCGGTGTGACTCATGTTTTTGGTTTGATCAAGGATGATTTGAACACTGTGTTTCACTCCAATCTGCTCTCAATTAACCCTGATGTCCTCTGAGGTTTGCCTGAGGCATATGCACCTCTTTCCCTCTCATTTACAACAAGCACTCTCTCTACAAATTTATATTTGAAATCTATTTCTAATCAACTTTATTTGTTCTTAGAATTATTATATATAGTAAATATATAATAGTATGATAATGTAATAATGTATTTTTTTGCATATGTATATATTTTTCTTCATGTATATATATATATATATATATATGTATAGCCTATATATTTAAATATTATTCTATGCAGAATATGAGAATAAGATTTTTCATATTATATAGTAAATGTATAATAACTAATAGTAGCCTACATATAATACTATAATGTATTTTTTGCATATAGGCTATCTAATATATATTGCATATTATATTATACCATATTATTCCTATATATATATTTTATATTATTTATATAATACAATATAATTATATGTTATTCTTTTGCAGAATATGAGAATAATATGTTTTTTAAATTGTATAAGAAAGCTTGTCACACTTTTTACTCAAACTTCATAGTGTAACATGTTGTCAAAGTGTATGGGGTAAGTTGTCACAATGGGACCCTGCCATTACATTTCAGGCAGTAGTATAGGTCATGAAACATGATGAAGAAACATAAACACAGCAAAAATAGGCCATTAAAAGATATTACAATTGATCAATTTGATAAAATTACAAATTTAATGTGATAAATGTGACATTTTACCCGGATCTAACATTTGTGAAAAATAATATCAAAGAAGGAAGACAGAAATGTGCTGGTTTTAAACTCCTGTCAGAAAACGAGGGCATTAAAAGGCAGCAAAAGAAACGAAAAATCAAACTACGTTAAATAAAGACAGGAGGAAAACAGGTAAGAAGAAGAAGTCTAATGAGACTATTGAGCAGAAAACAACATCTGTTTGGCTCCTGGCTATAATCTGAGCACACATTTGCCAGAGAGGTACAGTATGGTGAAGGACCGCGTCTTTCAAGAAACCTGCAAACAGATGCAGCGAACAGGTTTGTCTTTTCTCAACTTTTCCGACGACGAGAAACTGTTTCCGTTCAAACTGAGAAGATTTCAAAGGTCTTCGAAGGATTTAACACTATTTTCACCCTAGATAAGGTGAATAGCAGGTGTTTCTCCGTCTAGCTCTAAAAAACACTGAGGAACGTAAAGACTGTATAACTCCTGCCATGTTATGAGCAAGACATCAATCACATGGTCTCTTCTGAAATGTTGTCCATGTTTGGTGAAACAGCACGATCAAGGACATTTAGCGAGGCATGTCAGTGATATAAACACTGTCATTTTAACACTGCTGAAATGTCATAGCAGACGTGTTGTCAGACAGTGCTGGGCAAGCACATACGCATGGACAGAGACAAAAAAAATGATACACTTGCGTTCAAAATTTGGGGGTGTGTAATTTTTTTTTAAATAAAAAAAATCTTCAGCTCACATATTTATTTGATAAAAAATACAGCGAAAACAGTAACATTTAAAATAACGGTTTTCTAATTGAATGTGTTTCCTAATTGAATACTGTACATGTTAAAATGCAATTGATTCCAGTGATTTAAAGCTGAATTTTCAGCGTCATTACTCCAGTCTTCAGTGTCACGTGATCCTTCAGAAATCATTCTAATATGATGATTTGCTGCTCAAGAAACTTTTATGATTATAATCAATGTTGAAAACAGATGTGCTTCATATTTTTGTGGAAACTGCGATGAAGAGTAAAAGAACAGCATTTTATTTTAAATCTTTTGCAACAATATAAATGTCTTTACTGTCACTTTTGACCAATTTAATGTATCCATTTAATGCCATCTTTCAGCTGACCCTCAACAGTTTGTACAGAATGAAGTTATGAGTGCCTGGTTTCAGACAGGGTTTAGATTAAGCCAGGATTAAGCCTTATTCAATTAGAACATTTAAGTATAGCTTTTATAAACGTGCCTTAGAAAAAAAGAAAAGAAAAAAAACATTACTGGTGTGCATCTTACGACAAAACAACGGCACTAATATATTTTAAGATATATTAGTGCAAGTTGCTTTCAGTTAAAACAGCTCAAACATGCATTTTAGTCGGGAGGCTTACGCCTTGTCTGTGAAACCGGGCAATAATGTTCTGGTACAAATTTCATATGCATATTCACCTTGATTTGAATTTGTGGTAAATCACTCCAGAACCGAGCTTAGTCTGTGTCTTGTCTAGGAGAGCAATTGACTGCCGTCTGTTAGGATTGTGGTTTGGGAGTTTTATGGGATCAGATCAGGACAGAGACTGTGTGGGAATCTGAGTTGCACTGAATGAGATATATCAGGAGGCTATTAGACAGATATCACACATAATCACGTTAGGTGTTATATTAAAGATACCTTGGAGTATATGTATCTGTGATATCCAGAACGCAGATCCGCATTCATATGAAATACTCCAATGAATAGCAAAGCAGAGAGCTGTCAATCATCCACTTGTCATCTGGGCTGGATGGTTTACTGGCAAATAATCTATACATTTATTCACTGTGAATTGAAATTATTCCAAGTGTCCGCAGCAGGGGGTCCACCAAATTTGGGGGGGGGGGGGGGGGGGGGGGGGGGGATTTCAGACTGTTTTTCTTTTGTGAAAACATGAAAACATCCATTAAACAAAGATAAAATATTAACTTTGACTAATTGTTATGTTAAGAAGCTAAAGTTCTGCTAAATTATTAATGGCTTTTTCCACGATAAAATGTAAAGAACTTGCTCAAGTTCATCCTCATGTATTTTTTAAAGCATGACTTCCTTTATTCTGTGGGATACAATGACCAAGCTGCTCTTTTATGATACAATTAAAGTGAATAGCAACCATAGTAAGATTTTTAAATATTTCTGCAAAATTAATTATGAAAAAAAGAAGTGAGTCTAAATGATACTGGACAAAATAACACTCGAAAATATAATAAAAATGACATTAGAATCATGTAATCCATAGTGCCAATTGTCTCACTTATTGACCTCTATTGCCACCTACTGGATACTAACAGGAATGAACCATCATGAACCTTAGTTTGTAACCCAGAGGCCTAGGTATACTAAAAACTTCTCATAAAGCTTTCTCATTTCTTTCTTTTTTTCATTTTTTTTTTTTCATTTTTACTACACAGTGGAAAATTATCCTTTTCAATATTCTGCTATCACACTTGGTTTTCCATCTGCTTTTTTTCTGTCTCTGTTCCTCTTTCAAAAAAGTTGACAAATTACAGTCATGATAAGCACTTCTCCAAACACAAACTCAAGCATGCACATATTACTGTAATACATGGAGTTCAATGACACGCTTTTCTATTTTTTTAGATCTATAACACATTCAATTAATAAAGACAGCTATAATACACATATGATAAACATGTTTTCATTTGATAGTTTCTGGGGCTTAAAGGCAAAAATGTGAAACTATCTAGAAAAAAAGACTAAAGAAGTTTGGTACAATAGGCTAGCTTCTTTTAAAAATAAGCAGTAAAGCCATTTTATTTTTGAATAACCAACATTCAGAAATCCATTTTGTCACAGGAAACCCATAGAACAGAAATTATATCACAAAACAGACCATGTAGACCCTCATGGCTGTGTGCCAAGTATATTTCGATATCTTGACCGTTTTATTACATTTAAGGTTAATTAAAACTGTTAAATGTCTACTTTTTTAATGTATAAATCAAAATGAATTGCCATTTAGATTACATTTCTAAGAATTTGATCCATTCTTTTAAAAATCGATTTATTAAGTTTTTATTCATCTGTGACATTTAAGTAACACTTTCCAACGATTTTTATTTATTAACATAAGTTAACATTAACATGAACTAAGAATGAAAAATACTTCTAAGCATTTAAATCAGTACTAATCTAAGCACTAAAATCTGTTAATATCATTTAATGGACTGTTTAATATTATTTAACAAACTAAAAGACAGTTGTATTTTAATTAAGTCAAGTGAAGTCTTCATTTATATAGCGCTGTTAACAATATTAACAACAATAGCTTTACAGTGATAATAGGAAATTAAAGCAACAGAGATTTTTTTGCAGCTCTAGAATAAAGTTATTGTCCAGCTAAAGTTAGTTTTGATTCATTCATTTCCGTTGCAAAGATCATTAGTTATTAACTTAATGCTAACACGACACCGTTCTCACAGAAAACCCTTAACGCAGTCCGGCCGCTCATTCGCACATCAACAGTGCCTGGTGGTTCGAGAACGCAAACCTTGAAATAGGTTCCAAGGTGCAAGCCTTGAATAAAAATAAAAAAAAGAAATAAAAAAAAAGAAGTTATCTCTGCAAATTTCAAAAACGCAAACCTGTGAGAACGCCGACGTCGTGCACATGCGTATTAAGTGTTTAGTCTAGGTATGCGCGTTTGAATATATATGTGCGCAGGCGTGTAGTCTTTTTTTTTTACAAATTGACCTCAGCAAATTACTTGTCTGGCCTTAAAAATGTATAATAGCCTACAGAATTATTTATCGCTTCCGCGAAAACGGAATTATTTTGACAGCGTTTTAAAGGGAAGGAGAAGCGGGCCTTCACAGTGGAGAGACTAGTTGACACTTCAGGATTGCGTTGTCGTCGTGTCCAGGCTCAGGTCCTTCATCAGATCTGGACACGGCTTGATGGCATCGGCGCAGTCTCAAGTCGGACAAAATTTCTAACAGGCATGCACTGCTTTAAGTCAGACCATGATGGGTTTGCAACGCTATGAAGCCAACACACCTCATGATATCATGACACTTGACCCTTGATATGATCAGAGATGAAACTGCCCTGAGAAGCTGCTCTGATTGCTGAAGGTTTGAGTGCTGAACCTCTGTGAGAGCCGACGAAAGCCTCCGGCCCATGGCAGGTATCTCCTGAACTTCTTCCCTCCAAAGATGTGGACGAGCGGGTTCAGACAGCAGTGGGAATACGCTAGAATATGAGTGATACTGTAGATGTTCTCCCAAGCGTTTTCCCACACCGCCTGCCTGAATACAGCGACGCCTAAAGACCTCAAGGAGATGAGGAAGAGGAAGATGTTATACGGCGCCCAGCAGATGAAGAATCCCACTGCGATGCTTAAGATGATACATAAAGCATGGTTTCTGCTTCTGATGCGGCTCTGATGGATGCTAAAAGCCATCCGGGTGTAGCAGAACGCAATAACCAGGAATGGCAGCAGGAAAAAGAGAATAATCTGCGTGAAATATCCAAACGACTCCATAAACATTGAGTTGTAAGTGGGAATGCAGGACACACCGCCATGAGTTTCCACGGTCTCAGAGAAGATCATTTCAGGCAGGCTGAAGCCCACCGAGATCAACCACACCACAGCAGACGAGGCGTGTGTGTACAGTCTGCTATTGCCGACAGATGAAGCGAACACCGGATGCACGACCGCCACATATCGATGGACAGTCATGATTGTGAGGAACATCATGTAACTGTAAAGGCCCAAGAAGATGCACCAGCTGAACAACCTGCAGGCCAGATTCCCAAAGATCCAGCCCCAGATGTGATTCACGGTCCAGGGCACCAACGTGAAGGTGAAGATGAGGTCGGACGCTGTGAGATGAAGGAGCAAGCAGTCCGCAGAGCTTCTCGAACCCACCTTCTTCAAGACCACCCAAAGCAAAAAGCTGTTTCCTGGTAGACTGATGCAGATGATGAGACTGTAGCAAACGGCGCTGATCACCGCCAATGAAACATTCTCTTCCTCTAATTTAATCAAAGGATAATCCACATATGAGTAGTTATAATCATAGCTGAAATTGTCTGTCTGCAAAGTGTCTATATTCATCGTCTGGAAAAAAAAAAGTATGTTTTACAAGAAAATACCACTTCAGTCTTTTCTACTAAATTCTGTTTAATTAATGCAATGTGCTACAATTTCTGAGTGAAAATAGTTTAAAAGCCATTTTTTCATTATAGAATGACAGCAACATTCAATAATGTGAAAATATTATGTACAGAGATCATATCAAAAACCATATAAAACGTTTGCAATAAGTCTGGTCTACCATTAATCAACTTATTTATTCTCTATTTTACGGTATGTCATGCTAATGCTGTTTTTTTTACACGAATCACAAAATTATACATTTAGAATATTTCTTTACACAATTCTTTTACGTGCAATGACTATTTATAATGATCAAAAATCACTATAAAGTTAACTTTTTACAGCTACTGTATATTACAAATCTTTTGAAGCCATGCAGAACAGAAAAAACACAGATTTGATGGAAAAAATACAAAATTAGTACTTATACAAAGCTATCCTTTGGAATGTGGCACATGAGTCATATGACCAATGGTATTTGAGAGACTAAATAATGACAGAATTTTGTATTCTCTTTAAAGCCATTAGAAATACAAGTGAAGAGAAAAATAAAGAAAGCTATAAAATAAGAAATACCTTGATTGTTGGGGTTCCTTAAAATATTTGTCTTGTCTGTCATAGAGATACTGAAATTTGTTCTGCATGTTTCCCCCTCCAGTCACATGAACGTCCAGCCCACTCATTACCACCCAACTCATTAACACACATCTTCTCTAACTGATACATCCATCTTAAAGTAAATCCCTGAACACAGTAGGGATAACACAAATCATTTCCACTATCACTCTTTACATTTCTAATACAGAATGCAAAAATAAGCATCCATACCAGGAGTTTTGCTCTTTCAAATATGATAAAATCTGAATTAAAAACAAAAAATGTAAAGAAACCTTTAAATAAACAGCCATAAGAGTTTTGCTCTTTCAAATATTATAGAAAAATATTATTTTATTAAAAAGTATATGTATAAATATAAATATGTGTGGTTGTGTGTGTGTATTATATAAACACAGTTTGTTACATGCGATTAACTGTGATTAATCTATTTGACAGCACTAATTTAAAATTGTAAATTTAAAAAATATATTTTTAAAATAAAAAAATATATATTTTTTACACCTATGATGTAATTTTCAGGGAAAAAAAAGCAAGATTTGTTTTAAATGAAACATAACTGAATGTACTAAAATGTTTCTCCGGGAATAAATACATATATATATATATATATATATATATATATATATATATATATATTACAGTTTACTTCATGATTATACTAAATTCAAAAATTTTGATTTTTTTTTTTAAATATCAGTATATATTTTTTTTATATCTATGAAGTCATTTTCAGGGTAAAAATAGGGCATAATAGCCTACATCATGTTTGCATTCTCCATTTTTACAGTGTGTTCAGCTCTGTGGCGTTTGTTTGTCTCACGTCGCAGTTTCCAAGAGCTCCTTCATTTGTGTACGGATGAATCCTGGAGTCGCTGGGATCCGTGGCTCCTCTGTAGGGCCCCGACGTCCTGAGTTCAGGAGAGCAGAACAAAAAGCTGGACAAGAGATTTCTGTACTTCCCTCTGAGAATATACAGCGCTGGGTTTACACAGCAGTGCGAAAACGCCAGGATTCTGCAGACGACAAACGCAACATGCAGCTGGTAATGTTTGCAGGCATCAAATTCATAGATGGACATCAACACGATGATGATATGATACGGACCCCAGCATATGAAGAAAGCAATAACAATACACAGCACTAACACCACAGTCCTGTATTTCTGCCTGGTCTGCGTTGACATGAGAGTTATAATGATTTTGGTGTAACAGAAAACAATGAGGGCAAATGGTACGAGGAACAGCAGAATGAGTTGTGAATAATATCCCACATTATCATCGACCGTGATTGTGCTTTTGCAAGCATAAGTGTTGACATGGACTTTTTCTGCCATTGAGGCTATTGAATCTCTCAAGCAAGCAATCACACTTATGATCCATGCACCAACACAGGCGACTTTTGAACATTTGAGCCTCCGTCTCCGCGTTAGCCAACAACTTCTCACCACCACGACAACAAAACGGTCGAGGGTCATGGCCGTGAGAAGAATAAGACTTCCGTAGATTCCCACAAAATAGGCCCCGGTCATGATCTTGCAGGCGACGTCACCAAAAACCCAGTGATGAAGAAAGTCCACACACCAGAAAGGTAACGTCAGTGTGAACAGAAGGTCGAAAAGTGCTAAGCAGAACATGAAAAGGTTGGTGACCCTTTTCAAGTCTTCGTAGCAAGTGAGTGCACATATGAGGAAGCCATTTCCAAGGATGCTAAGGCAGAAGACCGTGGCGTAGCAGACGGCTGTCGTCTTTTTATAGTCATCAACTTCACACATTTTGATTAACACGCTGTCAGTCCCGTTGTAGTCATAATCATCATCATGGCTGCTGGTTGAGTTGTTGCTGCTGCTGGTCGAGTTGGACGTTTCCATCTAGCACGAATATAAATGAGCATTTTACAACATTTTCCATTTCGATAGATTTCGAATCAAAGTATTACAGTCCCGCACAATCAAAAATCTATGAAAAACTGTTTCTTGCATCATCAGTATATTAAGAATGAAAGAACACGAAATGCCTACCTCAAGGTTTGTATTTGACAGGGTTGAAAAACTTCTAAAGGAAAAACGTCTAAGTGACAATAGAGATCACACTTTTGTGCAGTCATTTCCTTTTGCTAATGCGAGCAGTTTCACAATGAATAAGTGTGTGGCTTGGCATGTCTTCTGGGAAGTTTAAAACACTCTTCACAGATTGGTCTACAGATCCTAATACACTGTAAAACACTTTTTTTTTTTCATGAAGATGATTGGAGTACGTTTTACAATAAAATTCTATTTCAGTCTTTCAAAATTTCACATTTAATTCAATACATGCCATTTCTTTGTTTTTGTTTATTACTAGTAATTTCTGGGTGAAAATTATTTTTGCACCCCCCCCCCCCCCCCCCCCCCCCAAAGTGTATGTACATTTTTTGCGAATTTAAGCGATTCCAGTTCCTTAATTTTTTTCCTTGAACCATATAAATACTGGGGGGGGGGGGATGCAGTTGCATTGCCTCTTTTTAAATTGAGATTTTTAAACAGTTCTTCCAAAAGGTTGGATTTTAAGTGAGTTGTCACAGTCTTTTTAGTAAGCAGCATATCCAATGCTATCCAAATACTGGCTTTTATATTCATATTTTTACAGCTACATCTGCTTTTGGACCAGTGGCAGACATGCAGGGGGAGTATTGGGGAAACCTGTATAAAAACAGTCATCATTTTGCGATTCTGTTTAAGGTCGCTAATGGCCCAGACGTGACACACAAAAAAGACATTGGACTATTAGTCTAGACAATTTATTAACAATTCTGCATAGTATTTCCATATTATAGCACACACATAAGGTAGAGTATGCCCCCCCGAGCAAAGTTTACAATCGTCATTTGTTTTTTCCTGGACATATTACCAAAACGTATACCAGGGGACCACACTGAATCAGCTAACCACGTATGACTGCTAGTGTCAAAGCTGCGGTGAACTGAAGCATAGAACTGCGGAATGTACGAGAAATTAATTTTTATTCTTTGTGACTCAGCAAATTATAGACAGAAAAGGCCCATGGACATTCTGCAGTGAAATATGCACACATGCTTTCAAAAGAATTCACCTTAAACAATACATGATAATGTTAATCAAGTCAAGCATTATCTGTAGATGTATCAATTCATGAACTTAATTACAGAAGAATTTGATTCATTGATTTATTTCATTATTATAATATAAATCTTATTGGGAAAATATTTCTTTTTTTTTAAGTTACTCGCAGAAAATACCCAAAGAAACCCGAGTATGAGGCCACAGCTAACATGCAAACATTTTACATTGCACTGTAAAAAGTAATTGTTGATTCTACTTAAGAAAAACTAGTGAATTTAACTTACTTTGAAAACTCAGTTGATTTAACTTGATTACACTGTGTACTGTGAACTTTTAGGTGAAACTAAACAAATCTAGTACATTGTACTTAAGATTGGTAAGTGTATTGTACTAAAGGCATGTTCACACTGTTGCAAATATCTGGAGCACAGAATTTGCATATAATAATAATAATAATAATAATGAAATTAATAACATTTTTAGTAAATACCATACAATTAGAAACGGTTTGATGATAGCTATAGCTATATACATGCGCGCACACACACACACACACACACACACGTGCGTGTGTATTTATTTATTAATAAGCCATCGGCTTATTAATAAATAAATAAATTAATAACATTTTTAGTAAATACCATACAATTAGAAACGGTTTGATGATAGCTATAGCTATATATATACATGCGCGCGCACACACACACACACACACGTGCGTGTGTATTTATTTATTAATAAGCCATCGGCTGCTACTGCTTCACAGTACTTATTTGTATTACAGAGCTTTATATATTTACTGTTCGTTGGTTATGAAGTTTCAGCATGAGACGAAACAACTCGGGGTTTTTTTTCATCTCGCGCGTGCGCATTTGCCCAATTGGACGGTTGAACTTGAAGAAGACGACATCGACGAAGAACTTCATCTCGTGTTCGGGATCGGGATGCGGCAGCAAAACTAGGTATGCTAGCCTCTTGAACAACTATTTATCAACTTTAATGTCATTGTATTGCTTAAAAACAGAATTTATTTAGCTCATTGTGCAGTAAGAGGAAAAGGCACACTGAAGTTACGTTAGTTTTATGTCGAATGAGACCAGTTGAGACAAGTGGCTTACTAGCTAACGTTAGGTTGCAAAAATCGATTTTTACTGAACACTGTTTTATGTACAGTTTGTAAGCTGTGTTAAACGTTTATAAGTTCGGGGATTATCATTAATAATATGTAAATCCTGGCTGTGCGGCCTAACGTTACTTTCATTCTGTCTAGAAAGTTCGATGCTCACGTGTCGTTCACATGGAAATTAACAACACGATGCATTAATTAAAATAGTGTAACTAACAAGCAGGTATTAGCTTATTTTGTCGTTTTATTTTGTGACAGATTCACTCAACGTTTCACCAATAACTTCAAGACTTAATGTGGAGACATTGGCTGCAGCAGATTAAAAATGACGTAAGCTCATCGCAATTATGTTTCGATAGCAAAACAAATGCTTTTGCTGTTGTTTTTTTGCTCTGTGTTGTGCTAGTGTCGAGCGCTATTCAATATACATTTTTATAACTTTGCAGAAATCCAACATCAATGCGGAACAAACAGCCGTTCTTCATGGCCTACCACTCCTTCTCGGAGAGGACCCCACCGATTTTTACAAGACATGTTTTGTAAGTATTTTTTTCTCTGATGTGATTCTTATTTAACAGGCAAACTGTTCTTCAAACAGTTGATATCTGGCAAGAAGAGTTATGAAGGCAAGAAAAACAGTCAGGACATTGAAACAAAGTAAGGGTTAGAGAAAAGAAAGTGAAAGATAAGTTTTATTTATTTGTTTGTTTCACATTTTAATGAGTATGTGCTCTTAAAGGGATAGTTCACCCAAAAATAAAAATTCTGTAATTTACTCACCCTTATGTTGTTCCAAACCTGTATGAGTTTCTTTCTTCTGTTGAACACAAAATAATGTTTCGAAGAATGTCGGTAATGAAACAGTTTAGATTACCCATTGACTTCCATAGTATTTTTTCTAAGTCAATGGCTACTCTCAACTGTCTGGTTAACAACATTCATCAAAATATCTTCTTTTCAGTTCAACAGATGAAAAAAAACTCATGCAGGTTAAGAACAACTTGAGGGTGAGTAAATTATGACAAGATTTTCATTTTTAGGTGAACTATCCCTTTAAAGCAACACTTCACCGTTTTTCCATATTAAACTGTTATTCCCTTTACTAAGACGAGTTGATACATACCTCTCTCGTCTCAGTGCGTGCACTCAATCGCTCTGGCGCGCGGAGACACTTTGTTAGCACTTAGCTTAGCCCAGTTCATTCATTAGGATTCAAACAGAGATGAAGTTAGAAGCGACCAAAAACCTCCACGTTTTCCCTATTTAAATACAGTTAGACGAGTAGTTACACGACCAAGTATGATGACACAAAATAAAACGTGGTTCTTTTCTAAGCGGGTAAAATGGATAACTAATGTATGGCGGAATAGCACTTGAGAGCACTTCAACTCAGCGCAGTAATATCATTTTTCAGGAGTGATGATATTACTGCACAGAGTCCAAGTGCTATTCCGCCATACATTATAGTTATCCATTTTACCTGCTTAGAAAAGCACCACGTTTTATTTTGTGTCACCTTACTTGGTCGTGTAACTGTATTTAAATAGGGAAAACGTGGAGGTTTTTGGTCGCTTCTAACTTCATCTCTGTTTGGATCCTAATGAATGAACTGGGCTAAGCTAAATGCTAACAAAGAGTCTCCGCGCGTCAGAGCGATTGAATGCACGCACTGAGATGAGAGAGGTATGTATCAACTCGTCTTAGTAAAGGGAATAACATAGTTTAATATGAAAAAAACGGTGGGAGTGTTCCTTTAAAATATGTTTTGTGGCTTTCTTTGACCTCATTTTTGTTATATGCTATTCCCATTTTTAGGACTGATGACAATGAAGATATGTCCAACATTGAAATAGGTATTCTGACAGTGATTCCCGAGTCGTCTGCAACCGCTGCCGTACCCTACTCCCTGCATCTTGATGCGTCAACAACGGCAATCGTTCTGGAAGGTACAGTGGTTGTGGATGATCTTGAAAATCTTCCTCAAGCAATGTGTTTGCTCTTTGGACTAATTTATGCTCTAAACCTGCAGCACTGAAGAGCACATTCGACTTCATACAGAGAGTGATTTTGTCCCTTGGCCACAAGTCACTCAAACCTAAAATCCAATCACTGAAAAATCGCCTGATGCAGTAATAGATCATAGCCATGATGCTTTGAGTGAATAGAGCTGTCTTTAAAAGAACACTCCACCGTTTTTTTCATATTAAACTATGTTATTCCCTTAACTAAGACGAGTTGATACATACCTCTCTCGTCTCAGTGCGCGCACTAAATCGCTCTGGCGCGCTAGACACTTTGTTAGCACTTAGCTTAGCCCAGTTCATTCATTAGGATCCAAACAGAAAAGCAACCAAACACCTCCACGTTTTCCCTATTTAAATACAGTTACACGAGTAGTGTAACTCGACCAAGTATGGTGACACAAAATAAAACGTGGCGCTTTTCTAAGCGTGTAAAATGGATAACTATAATGTATGGCAGAATAGCACTTGAGAGCACTTCGACTTGGCGCAGTAATATCATCACTCCTGATGATGAGAGGATTTTTTAGGAGTGATGATATTACTGCACCGAGTCGAAGTGCTCTCAAGTGCTATTCCGCCATACATTATAGTTATCCATTTTACACTGGTGTAATCATCTTACACCATTCTCGGTCGTGTAACTACTCGTGTAACTGTATTTAAATAGGGAAAACGTGGAGGTGTTTGGTCGCTTCTCTGTTTGAATCCTAATTAATGAACTGGGCTAAGCTAAGTGCTATCAAAGTGTCGCGACGCGCCAGAGCGATTGAGTGCACGCACTGAGACGAGAGAGGTAGGCCTATGTATCAACTCGTCTTAGTTAAGGGAATAACATAGTTTAATATGAAAAAACGGTGGAGTGTTCCTTTAAGAGAACTCTAAAGAAAATTGTTCAGTACTGTTTTACAGATACGTCAGTGTTTTCCAATTGTTGAAAATGAAAAAATAAAACATATCCATATTTAACAGGATGTTTTGAATTTCAAGTTTACTTGTTTGGTTTTAGAATAGAGTTTTATAAGAAGAGAATTTTAAAGAGAACTGTAGTAGGAAAGGCATTCTGTACCAAACTCTGTGACTTAAACGCTCTGCTTTCAACCACTGTTGAAACATTGTAAAGATGTTAAAAACAAAGAAACATTGATGTCTTTATTGTCTTTAGTTTTTTTCTTTTTTTCTTGAGTGCATTGTGCTTTATTTCTAAAATGTTGTTGGCGGGCCAGTAATGTTTTAACATTATTATTGTTGAACAAATAAACATTCTAGTGTTTTGCCAAATGTGTTGTCTGTCTTTGTATTTTCAACTTAGAATTTTGAGTACAACTTGCTTGAGAAATTTAAGGCAATCAGTTTCCACACATTCCTCTAGTAAAATGAACAAGCAGACATGTTAAATTAACTGTTTTGTTTAAGTTCTGCTTACAAATCTCAACTTAAATCTGTAAGTTGCCTAAACTTGAGTTTATTAAGTTACCTGTACTCAAGTTTTATGGTAACCTCTACAAATACACAAGTTAACTCTACAAAGAAGTAGACAGTAGTATCAAGTCAAAACTTATGACCTAATTTGCTTGAAAAATTTGAGGCAATCAGTTTCCACAGCTTTTCTTAGTAAAGTCAACTTATTACTTTTTACAGTGTGCATTTACAGAACTCACGCTATAATTGCATAATTTTCAGATCATAGTCCTCTGAAAATATGTTACCCATGGTGGCAGAACATCCTGGCAGGTGTTTCCTGACTAAATGTGCTATAGGGTATACACCTGACCAGGTTTTTCTCATGCTCATGCAATGTACTCTAAAAATGTTTTTTTTTAATTTACATATTTTACTTCAAAAAGTTGAAGGAAATTGTGATTTGGGACCCTTGACATAGATCATAGAACCATTGTTTGAGATACTGGCAGAGGATGTGGTCGTGTGCAGTTTATTTTTAATGTTTGTGGTTCATAAATGACATTTGTGACAGAAGTGCAGGAAAATATTTATTGCACATGTTTTCAAAAACATTAATACATCAGAACTATATTGATGGATAAATTTCACTCAGTTTGAGTTTGTAGAAATTGTAAAAGTGGAGAAATTGCATATGTTGTGCAATTTCTTTTTTTTTAAATCGCTTATTATTGTTGTTAGTAAAGCTATTCAATGTTAATAAATCTAATTAGGCAAATGTGAATTATGTGAAACACATGCATAATGACAAATGCAGTTGTGATTACAGCTAACATGTTTACTATATACACCCCATATTAGTTTATCATTTGTTGCATCAAGTATGAATGTATAAAAGAAAGAATATATACAATCCAAATGAATTTAACACAGTAAATATAAACATACTCTTGTAAAATTGCATCCGATTTTGAGAGCTTTTTTACACGCAGTTTTAGTAATATAATTAGTTGAAACATTTTTAAAAGTTTGTTCAATTACAGTACAGACACTTTACATTGCATTCATTTTGTTGCTGAAAATCAGTTGTAAACTGAGATATTTTTAAGCATACATTGCTAATACATTGATATTTCTTCGCCGTTGGAGTAAATAAGCCTGCTGTGTCGATTCTGAGGCTCGCTGTTCTTCTTACGGAAAGTCCATAACATTTTCTTCAAGTGGTTTCGGAACTTTATCCCCATAAAAACATAAAACACGGGATTCAGGCAGCAGTGTGAGAAAGCCACCATGCGAGAAATGTACATCCAATAGTCGACGGATTTGCTGACCTCGCACTCGTTAAAAGGAGAGATTCCCCACGCAATCAGAGAGTCCAGAAATATGGCCACGTTGTACGGCCCCCATCCCAAGAAAAAAAACACCACTATGAAGAGGATGAGCTGCACTGTCTTCTTACGAGTGTGAGATGTTGGTCGAAGCAGCCGTGTAAGGATCACAGTGTAGCAAAAAGCAATGATCACAAATGCGACAACAAAAAAGAAATTTTGCAAGTATACGGTTTGAAGCTTCCAGTTAATTTCCCCCTCGAAATCACAAAGCAGGACTGTCGTTGTCTCAGTAGAGCTGTCCACGACGGAGTTGAACATGGCTTGTGGGATGGCTGCGCAAAAACTGATGATCCAGATTACAATTGAGGTGGTGTAGCAGTGCAGGCTCTTCCGAGACATGACCACCGACATGGGGTGGACCACGGCCATGTAGCGGTGGACAGTCAAGACGGTCAGGAAGATGATGCTGCTGTAATATCCCGTGTAGAACACGTAGTTGATTGCTTTGCAAGCAGGATCTCCAAGAGTCCAGCCATACATGTAGTAGTAGGCCCAGAACGGCAGGCCAAAGGTGAAAATCAGATCAGAGAGAGCCAGATTCAACAAGAATGTGTTGGTGAGGGATTTCAGATTTTCATACTTCGCAAGGACGTACAGGACCAATGTGTTCCCCACACAGCTGAACAGAACAATGATGATAAAAAGGATTGGTGTGACGGCTCTTCCAAATTGGTCAACTTTTGTCTTGTTACAGATTTCGTCTCCTTGGCTCATATTGAAATCATGATAATAGTCATCATCGAAATACATTCCAGGCTCACTGTTATTTATTGATTGGTCTGCCATCTTGATGCACAGTGTAAAAAAAAAAAAAAAAGCGATATTTAGGTTAATACAAAAATGAGGTGATGATAGACCCTCTAAAAGGAGTAAAACATGGACCTGAAGAATAAAGAAATCTTTTGTTTTTCTTGTCTGTTGCACAACTGAAATTTTTGTAGATAAAGATTGGCCACTAATGTAAAAATTAAAAGGTTTAAATATAGCCTAACTGATCACAATGAGTATTCTCAACTATTTTGAGAAATAATTAATGATTGCATTGATAATGCAAATGTTCATTACATGCACTTCAGAAATATGGAGAGATGAGTTATATCACTTACCTTTCTGAAATTCTGCAGAGAAAACTTGAATGGAATCAGGTGATAGCAGGCTGAGCAAGTGTAGTTAAGTGTAAATATGAAACTTTCTTTGTTCCTATTGGAGTATCAGTAAAGAGTACAACCCACCCAATAAATGATGCTCAGATCCCGCATCCTCAACCCCAATAGGCCCATGCCCTTTTTTCTGTTCCTTATATAGATTCATTTGCAAGATCAAGAGAGGCCTTGCCATTTGACAAAAATGGACTTGAATCAAGAAATTTTAATCAAAAGAAATCACATTGAGTTGACCACTAGGCCTATATCCTCCTGGGACCCAAGAATAGACTTTTGTCCACTGTAGAGGAGATTATATTTTAGTGAATTTCTCTGACATCATGTGACATGACACGACCTGGGTGTCCTATGACACGCCAATTCGTATTTCCATTTTTGGCGTGCTATCAACACACATAATCGCTTTTCAGCGTGTTTATCAACGCCGTTGACTTCACGTTATATTAGCCTACTGTATATATAAATATATGACCTACCCCAACCCCGTCCCTAAACCTACCCGTCACTGGGGTTATTATGAGTCTTCCCCTACCATCCTAGGAAAAAAAATATCGCTCCCCAGATGTAGATCTAAATTTTGCTTCGTTTCGCTCGGACATTTAACGGCGTGTACATACACGCGGAATCACTCGGACATTTAACGCCGTAGACATACACGCAAAAGATGACGGTTCGTTTCGGCGTACACATACACGCGGATAGCTCAAAATGCGTATAGATAACACGACACTTGACTTGAAAGTGGCGTGTATGTTTACGCAAAGTCATGATGTCATGTTGCATGACATTGACTTTTCAGAGATACCAAATGTTTGGAGGTTTCACCATTAAAACAACTTCTCCTTGGTCTTTAAAAATGTCTGACATTAATTTAGTGATCAAATGTAGCATTATTATGGAAATATGATAATATATTGTAATTATAATTTAAATGGGACTACTTTTTTCGAATTGTATTTCATAAAACAACATCTCAGGAAAATGTTAAGGGGTTTCAAATAAAAAAAAATTACTTTCTGTTACAGAACAGGGCATTGATTTCAAACGTGTCCACTGTAGAGGACATCAGGCTTAAAATCATGTTTATCATGCATCCTGGGAGACACAACAAGTGAATATGGAAATAAATTATACATCAATATTCCTATGAAATATTAGATATTATTATTAAAATGTTGCCAATTATTACTCCAATTATTACACTTATTTTTTCATTAAATGTTGCTCCAAGAACACATTAATGTGCAAATTAGATACAGTGTATAGATACATTGCATTGAATATTAATTTATGGCAATTTTATCAACATATTGCAAAAAGTAAAATGGTGTATCAATTCATTCCATTATTTCTTTCATAACATAGTTGAGAATAATCTTTATACAAATTTTGGTTGAAAAAATCCTGAAACCCCAAAATTTATTGGTGATTGAAAAAAAATCCCATTGTTTTTGCCTATACATATAATTTCATGTCATTTTATTTTTTAAACAACTTAGTCCTGGCGTCCACTACAGAGGACATAGCATAAAATATTATTTTATAAATGTGTTTTTTTACCATTTGTTTATTGTGCTCTAAACAGTGTGATGACATGGAAAAAACTCCATGGGTCTCAGGAGGCTAGATTAAATATAGATTATGTTAAACACAGACTTTGCTACGAATTAACTTACTTTTGCTATCATCTCTTTTTATGAAGCAGCTGCTAATAAGAAAGCCTCTATGAAGAAGCAATTGATTTACCTTTATGAATTTCAATTTTAACCATCACAGTCTGTAATAGCCTACATATAAACATTTACACAAAATACAATGTAACCGTTAAGATTTTAATCTGGAACATGTTTATTTTTTATGTTTTTCGGGTCATCTTCTTAAAAAGTGTCCTTACCGCACACAACGTTACAACAACGTTCATTTTATACATTTTTCTTTAGTAATTTCTGTAAAAAATTTCATATATTTAAATAGCTTTTTCAAATTTGATTCAGTTTTGTAAATACTGATATAAAAAATAATAATATACAAAATAGGGAATTTCATGTTTTTTTTCTATGCCATGTAAAACATGTACAGTAACCTTAGATGTCAATTGTTTCCATAGACACAAAAGATAACATATTCAACTTTTTATGACAGATGTTGCAATTTCAATGTTTTTATCATCTCAGCTTAAGTGTAAAAATATTTTTTTACAAATGAAAATGTGAAAAAAAAATGGAAATAGAGCAGTGCTGTGGTAATGACATCTTGTGTCGGTAAGGACACAATGTCATGCCACGACAAAAAATGGCATGTTTATATATATACTAATATATATACTAATATATACTTCAGTACTAATAATATACTGAATATTTGTAATTTAATATACAGTAAACCTTGAATTTGTGTCTACCGCAACACAAGGCCTTCCTGCAACACCTAAATTTGCTGATGATGATGAAAAAAACATGTGTTTACCTTATTTTTTTGGCATCTTGTGAGTGAGGTAGTGTGGTGGTCCAGTCTGTCAGCAATGTGCTCAAGTGATAATTTCTGTTTCCATAGAAACTAGACTTGTTTGTGTTCGATAAAATTTCATAATGAAAGCTTTTTTTCATTGTTGCGGTAAGGACTCAAAAGTGTGGGACAGGCACATTTAGTTAAAAAAATCATAAAAATTATCAGTAAATAATACAAAGAATTTTAAGATGCTGTAAATGAATCTGTATATTAAACAATTCCATTTGAAATAATGCCAAATTGTAATTAAATTAGCTTATTTTATGTATCTCAACATTGAGACCACAGGTGTGGGACATTAACAAAAATGGTGTTTTGAGCTATAAATGCTTCATTATATTATATTTAATCACATTAATCAGTAATTATATTTTTTGTCAAGGTATGTAATGGCACTGTGAATATATTTATGAAACATCAAATGACAAATTTGATCATAAATCTAAAATTTCACTGCTGGGACTTAAAAGTGCCCGTAGTTGCAGAAACACCATAAAACTAACAGTTAATGGTTGGTTTTGATCTTTCAATACGTGTTAAATGTATCTGGTCATACAGTGACACTCATATTGTAACATTTTTGTTAACACCGACTTGAGTTTGTTTGTGTTTTTGATTATGCGTTCATTACTGATCATCATCACATGACTACTTGTTTAACTGCGTTTATCGTGCAACCAAACTTGGTGCTGGACAAATGTGCTACTGCGTTTTCTTCTCTGATTGGATCAGCGTGCTGTCAGTCAATCTAAGGAACCGTCCCCTATAATGGCAGCAGGGTTGTATCTACTGTAAACACTCGATGAGGAAGAGCATCTTTCTGTATGAAGTATGTCTTGACTTACGTCTATTTATCATTATTTACATCAGTTTATCTTATATACATCTATTTATCCTGACGATAAACTGTTCTGGTAGAAAAATGACTCGATATAGCCTACGCTGTTCAGAAGTTGTAAAGTTCAGCAGGTGCGTTAGTCTCGTCAGTTTCATTTAAAGATTAAAAAATATTTTTTGTTTTTTAATCATTGTAGTCATAATATATTATCTAAGGGTTTGTGAATTTATGGAAGTTCTCCACGTTTAAAAACAAAAGTAAAACTGTTTGACAAAAGTAAAACTGTCTAATGCACCTGCATAACTCACGAATACATTAATTATTCTCGTCTAATGCTCTTCTTTTATGATATAATAGTAATACAAAGTAAAAGTATCATCACATATTATGTTTTTTATGACATCGTATACTATCATAACCAGTTTGAGATTTACTGTTTTATTGTTGTCTTTATTCTTTTAGTACAACCCTGTTTTTTTCTTTGGTTTTACAGGCATAATGTTGACTTTATGAACCATCCACACTAACATATTCAGCCCACCATGAGTACAGTGGGAGAAAACCAGCTGCAGAGAATAATCAGAGATCTGCATGGTAAAATATCTGTCTCCCTCACACCCTCAGTGTGATTTATTGCATGTGCGCACAGTCATGTGAGCTGAGTGTCTTGACACTGTGATTGGCCAAGAATTGATAAAGCTTATACTAGAGACACCACATTATTTCCCCACTTACTCCGTATTCTCATAGGTATTCAGCAAGCATGTTATCTGCATGTGCAGTGTTGAAATTATCATCTGTGAAATTTGGTGCATTGGTGTTTATTTATTAATATAATGTTTCTCATTACTGTGAGGTGCAATTAATTGGTCAAGGTCTCACCATAATGGAAAGCCTAAAAATATCAAGAAAATATAAATAATAAGTGGTAACTCATGGAAATCCTAATATGTTACTGAAATTTGGAGCTAGTTTTACTTAACACAAACATCATGCAGTCTCTTATAAAATGAAACAATATATAGCCTAAAAATCAGGGCTTGACATTAACTTTTTTGCTCACCAGCTACTGTGGCTATTGGTTTTTCAAAGTTATAGCCACTCAGCATTTTCACTGGTTGATGTCGATACCATGTGGAAAAACTGCCATATATTTTTTAATATTATCTCATAATTGGGCAGTCAGGTATATTAGGCTGCTGTCACTGTAGGACCTGACACACTGATCCATTATACTGTTACACATGCGTTTTCTTTCTTCACTGTTTAAGTTCACTTTAAAAATAACTGACTGTGTTTACGTGAATACTCATTTTGACATTATTTTGTGTGTATTTGACTGTTCAAGCGCAATAAGCAGCAAAAAAATAACTCAGTTTAGTACTGAGAGGATACTTTATGTGTGCGCACTTTATGTGTGAGCTCAAAATCTGCAGGAATGAGTAAAATTATGTGCAATATGCGCAATCCCATGCCGAAGTTCAAGCGCTTAACATCAACAATATTCATCCGGAGCAAATGAAACGAGTGAGAGAGGAGAGGCGGGTTTGTGTGTCACTCGCTGTCGGAGAGATGATGTGAGAGAGAGAGAAAGAGCAACTGGTATCGTCTATCTATTCTGCGTAAAATTAGTGTTGGAAGCGTTTCAGATATTTCAGTATCGATATATTATGTATTAAAAAATCAATATTTTTGACAAAAATGTATGTATTATATATAATTTTCAACCTGCCAAGGTGGCAAGTAGGAGTGACTGCGTTACACGAAACATTTGAAATGCACCCGCATTTGGCGGGTGTTAATGTCAAGCCTTGATAACAATATATATAACTATTTATATATATATATATTTATAACTTTGAATGTAAATTGCACTACACCTGCAGATGCAGTTTCTGAGTTGAGCAAAGAACATTGTGATACTGGAGAGCCCATCACCGATGACAGTTCCAGTCTTCACAAGTTCTGCTATAAACTGGAGTACCTACTGCAAGTATGGGACAGTTTTTAAAGTTTTACATTTAATGCTTGAGAGATTTATTTGTCCATCATGAACTCTGTCTTGAAGTCAAAATCAGGGCCGCATGGAATCTGCACCTACAAAAATCATTTCGAAGAATTCAATTGGTTGTAATTCACAAAGTTCTACACATCTCTGCCCCATCTATGTTCATTTATTGGATTTATATATTAATTACCAATAATAGTGGAGGACCTTCTCATTCCTAGTTTAACTTTTTTTTTAGTTTTTTTTTTTGTCTGGTCTGATAATTTCATCCATACTCCTTTTCTCCCTATTATGAGTCTGAGGACATAATTAAATTGATACATTTTTAAAATAATTAGTTAAATCAATACAATTGGAATTAATGTTCTTAATTTCAATTCTCAATTATATACTGTTATAGTATTTAATGTTTGAATTCTTTTATTTTTTATATTTTCATTTGAATTTTAGTTCAAATTTTAGTAATTTTCTTATGCGCGTTTGTCGTTTTTATTATGTTTCCCCCCTGTATAGCTTTAATCCTTCCCCCCCCCCCAGTTTTAGTAATTCTAGTACTTCAACTTAAATCTGTTTTATTTCAGTTATTTGCCAAAGCAGCATTTCTCATTTTTGTTTATGTTTTTATTGTAATATTTATATTTTATTTCAATTACCGAAAACGTATTTGAATAGTTACAGATTTAGGTTTAGTTAAGAAGAACAAAACTGATTTGACAACTGTAATTTGTAATAATAATACATTTTTTTTTTTAAAACCTGGCAATAATTTATATCCATTCCACATATTTTCGCCCCTCAATCAGTGCAGGAAGCGTAGAACAAGTTTGCAGATTCTGGTGGAACTAGTTTTAACTTGAGCAAAAGTGGAATGTCATGTAGAATGCCAGTTGTTACAACTAAACAAGATTATTGTAGATCTTAACATGTCGTTCTATGGTGACCTGAAAGATCTCTGCATTCATGTTCAACCAAAAGTCGTGTTTAGAGTGATTGCTTTGAGATTAACCTGTTGACCGTTTTGTCCAGTTTGACCAGAAAGAGAGGACCACATTTCTGGGCAGCAGGAAAGACTACTGGGACTATTTCTGTGACTGCTTGTCCAAGATTAAAGGAGCTAATGACGGCATTCGCTTTGTCAAATCAATCCCCGAGGTAATCCACTGCACGAGCCCAAAGCTCTGCAGGAAAACATCTCTTGACCCAGTGCGTGTTTGGCTCCAGCACACCTTCTCATTTCTCTTTCACAGTTTCATGTCGCTGTTTTTCTGACATTTTATATACATTTTTTTTTTTACCTCCACCTCTCCGGAGGGTTTCAAGAAGGAAGCAGTGACACTCAGCCTCAGGTTGGTCATGTGCTGTAGGTGTTCAACTAGCGGTAGAGGCTCTCGCCGTAATAATGCACATTATACACATAGGTAGGTGAATTTTAGTGCTGTTTGTTAAGGCATGCATAACTATTACTATTACTTTGGGTTAGAAAGAAACCACTAAGCTTAAGTATTAAACTTTGGCACACAACGATACCTTAAATCATGCAGCTTGCTGTGGAGAGGTTAGCTATTACTTTTTTAAGGGATCAGACTTAATTTATCAGCTGGTTGGACAAAAATTAGGTGGAAAAATCTTTGGAGGAGGGACCTGAGCCTTATCTTGGGACCAGAATATTATTATTATTTTGACCAAATTTGGATCTAAGCAGCAATTACCCTGGCTCCAGTATGCAACCATTAGCACACCCACACCCTAGAAACCACCTAGCAACATCCTAACAATCTCCCACAACATACACCGAAACTTGAGTTGTATATGTATTGTATTCTCGCACGTACCATTTTTTCAGAGTAGGCTTTAGTGAGATGGTATCATTCTCTTTGTGTACTGTTCCCAACAGAATCATTTTAAGACACTAACCTGTTTTACTCACAGTTTAAAATTTAATAGATTTAGGACCTTTTCCTTTTTTTTTTCTCTCCTTTGAAGAACAACTTTCACTAATACATACAACAATTCCTTTGCCACTGAAATGCAGGTTTGTGTGAGTCTTGAATCCAGAACAAATCCAGAAATCCAGCATCAGCTGTAGTAGTGTTACGTTTCCATCTGGTGTCCTTATGCTCTTTGGTCACCCACTGTAATCCTCCATCTGTTCTCCTGACCATACTGTACCAGAGACACACATAGTTTGTGTTTAGAATGGCATATTACCATACTATTCATACAATAATTTCAGTTTGGAGGGTGTGTACTACACACATTTTCTGTATACATGGAATACCCAGAGGTCCTATTACTACATTTGCCAAATTGTGCAGAATACAACCAGCGCACACTGCACGGATAGTGTATCCCACTATGCAGTGCACTCAGCTTGACCTTTCATTTCTAGTGTGCCAGACCAGCAGGAAGCAATATTGAACATGATTTCTTGACTATTTGATTGGACTGCCAAAAGTTTTGTTTTATTTGTTAATGCTAAAAAGGAATAAGAATTTAAAATTTTAAAGTGCCTCTATTATGCCATTTTAAAGGTTCCTAATTTTGTTTCGGAGATCACCTACAACAGGGTTACATGCATCAAATGTCAAAAAATACTTTAATTTTCTCATAATATACAGTGCACATCGCCTAATTTTTCAATGATTCTCAAACGACTCGTCGGATGAATCAGTCTCTCTGAACCCCTCCTTTCCATGAGCCTACTCTGCTCTGATTGGCCAGATGGCCCAGTCTGTTGTGATTGGTCTACCGCTTACAGCGCGGGAAGCCGAGCACTAACGTGAATTACTGATGCAACGTTAAAGTTTGAAAATCTTGCTCCATTCTTCATCTTTACTCAAAGTAGTAAGAACAACAAACGATCTGCATTAATAGACACAGTTTTAGGTAATAAGTGGCTCACAGATAATAATAATAATGTAAGTCCGTCTAATTTGATCCAATGCCGGCATTCAAATTAGCGGTGAAGGTCTCACGCTGTGTTCCGTCTCTTCCAATGGCAAAGGGATTTTTAATTAAATGTAATACATTTTATCTTATGTATTAACTCGTTTCATCTGACTCCATAAAATGAAAGTGTTTTCAATGATATCTGTGCATCATTAAATATATGTTAATGTTTGACTATTCCTTTTAACTCCAATGAAAATAAAGTCAAAGTCTGTTAGAATAATCAAATTTATTATGTCAGGTAAATGTATTATAACAATTCCATAATCAATTGAAAGATAATCAATGCAAATCATCAAATGTTCTAGAACAAAGAGGAAAATCTTTTACCCGACATGAAATACATGAATGCTGAGTCTCGGCGACTCAGCCTCCATGGGTCGATCTGAGATACAGAAAGAGCCACGATCCCTTGCTGCCTTCCATTAAATAGCCAGACCTCATTTCATATGTAAACCTGTATTCACAGTGGAAATGTACTGTGTTCATCCCCCCAGACTTACTGGGGGCAGAAGTAAATTTACATGGTACCATTTGCTAACAGTGGAAATTAGCATTGAGTTCACACCTTCTGGGAGTAGGAGACCACATTCATTTGTGTGCCAGATATCCCTAAACTCTTAAAAAACCTTATTACCTTTTGTTTTTTACTTTGGGAATGAGACATTTGTACCACTCATTCCTGAGAAATTTCAAATGATACCAAACATAATACTCAATGATAATCATTCACATCAAACCATAGATATTCTTATGTGAGTTTTTTATGTGTCACTGCGAGAGTGGGGGATGCGGGGAAGAAGTGTGTGTGTGTGTGTGTGAGAGTTCAAATGTTAATTTGCCAAGGTCCTTTGTCTCATAGACCAGTGGTCTATCTCTTCACCCAGTTTCCAGTTTTCCAGTCTTACAATAATAAATAATAATACATTTTATTTCTAAATGCGCTTTTCTTAAACCCAAAGCGCTATAGTAAAAGACACAAAAACAGCAAAGCAATACAACAATTAAAAAACAGTCTTAAATAAGTGTGTCTTAATCAACTTTTTAAAATGTTCCAACGTTGGTGCATTTCTGAGGCTAAGAAAGAGGAAGCTTATTCCATATCTTCGGGGCTTTATATGAAAAGGCTCGTTCCCCCATAGTCTTGAACTATAGTTCCCCCATAGTCTTGATGATTTGCAAAACTATTTCAGCAAGGCAGTAATAATGTGAGTTATCTGGTTAGCTGAAAACGTACACATTATAAACACAAAACTACGTACAGTATGTTGAACACCCAGTAGAAAATATATACATAAAATTATTCACTTACAGATTGTGATTCTGAGGATCAAACTGCTCCAAATAAACTGGGTACTCACCCATCTTTCAAGAGCAAGCGTTTTGCGAATCCTGTGTTGAACTCCGAGATTTAAGAAGCAGTCGTCAGTAAAATTGTGTTTTAGGGCGACAAGTTGTTCGCGGGCGGACCACGTACAATATAGGCGGGCATTATGCAAATGTCTTATCTAGTGACGTGCAGGCACGGATTAACGCACGGGCCTACTGGGCACTTGCCCAGGGCACTGGGCCATGCAGCAGGGGGCCCTGTAAAATGTACTGTGTCTATTCTTTTCAAATAATTATTTTTATTTTATTTTCAGTAAAATTGTGTTAAATATTGAGGAATAATGTGATTTTTTTTGCAGTTGCAAAGTATTAACTACTAAATAAATCAAATAAATAATTTTAATGTATTGCTGCGCTGTTGAGAAGGACATCTAGAGGCGAGTGAAAAGCATTGCGTAATATAAAAGTCACGCAGAAGACGGTTACTCAAAAACCAAAACAAAAATGAGTTTAAAACCACAACCAAGGGAGAACATAGGCTAAGTTGTTTATGTTTTACAATAGTAGCCTATGGGCTTATTTTTTTAACGAAATGTCAATCTTCATCTTTATAACAGAAGATATAATACAATACAACAATCTTCAAGATACAGTAAATCTTCAAATGTGTAACGGATTGTCACCTTAAAAAGTGTCTTTTGTGGTGGAACAAGCAATGCTATATAGCATCTTAATTTAATCTTTGTTTTATTATTTTAGTTCATTAACTAATTGTTAACTCACTAACTAATAACGTAACTAATTTAACGCTAACTAAGTTAACTAATTTAACGTAAAGACCTGGATACTAGAATTAGGCTACTAAATAAAACTAAATAAATGTCAACTAGCCTAAATGCATTGATTAGAATTGCCATTGACTAAAGATTTTCTAGTTGACGACTAGTAGTCATTCCTTTAAGCAATTAGTCGACTAATCTCAAGTTAATATTAATTTCTGCTTAAATACTGAGTGGAGGCATATAGCCTATTCCACGCTCAAGCAAGCGCATGCATAAATATTGCCTCAAAGCACCGGCAAAAGCAGGCTAATGATAATATATGTCTGGAAAAAAACTAGGCATTTTTATTGTTTAATAATAATAATAATAAATAAATAAATTAAATCAGTGTCGGCTCGGCTGCAATCATATCTATATCTCCGCTGTAAAGTGGATGCGCCTTTAGAGAGAAATGCACCTTTCATATCATATCAGCCTAATCAGCCAGTATTTGCTTTCGATTCGAATTTTTTCGTTTAAAAGTGGACATTTCAAGCTTTATATAGAAATATTCATCATGTATGTGAGGCTATACACTGTGTTTCAGTTCATTTTTGAGACGTGCTCCAGTTCACGCCACGGAGACCATGAAAGCGCGCCCTGTTTGTTTTATTTGATTTTACAAAAGCACAACGTTTTCTTGTTATTGTGAGTTTACAAAAATAAAAGTAGCTACTTGCGACTGATGCATTATTCTTTTCTGTATAGGCCTATGACCAGAAAAGATTGAGTAGGCCGATTTCAAGTTGTTTCCACTGTTGATAGGAAAATGCAAGTGTTCGCGCCGACGCCTGACATGCAGTGCGCGCTGCACACTCCGCACACGCACTTGGATATGCATTTATCTAGGTTAAAGTTAGAGCGAGCTGCCATGCCAGACGGATAAGTTATTTTCATGTTTAACAAATCAAATCATGCATTTTCTACCTACCGCGAGTAAGCGCTGCACCAGTTTGAAAAAGGTAAAAGCATAACGAGCGTAACGAGCGAGAGGCCCCACACTGGGGGATGCAGAGATGTTGCTGCGTCTGTTATTATTAACATTTCTGATTGTTTAAATGACCAGCCCTCGGGGGTCCCCTCAAAATGCCTGGCTTGCCTGCCCACTGTTGTCCAAAAAATTGGTGAAGGGGGCCTTTGAGACATCCGTGCCCAGGGCACATCATCGCCTTAATCCGTCCCTGGTGACGTGTAACTGCTACGCTGTGGGATTCAAATTCCTGACGACTCGTTTAGGCGTTTCAGAGTTATTCTTTCCTTTGGGAGACAATAATTTTTCAGAACTTTTACATTCACAAACAGCTATATTACACACTGCATGAAAGGGAAAATTCATAAAAACATAATAGGGGTACTTTTAAGTGACCCTATTATGCTATTTTAAAGGTTCTTAATTTTGCTTTGGAGGTTTTCATACAACAGGTTTACATGCATTCAATTTTCTCATAATATACATTGCACATTTCCTCATTTCTCAGACGTCTCTCAGTCTGAAACCGGTTCGTTTGAAGATTCAGACTTTCTAAACCCCTCATTTCCGCAAGACTACTCTGCTCTGATTTGTCAGATGGCCCAGTCTGTTGTGATTGGTCTACCACTTACAGCGGGTGTCGGAAAAGGAATGCCTATTACCATATTTAAATTTCAGCTCTGGATCATCCTTTGCACTTGTATACACAGTGATACGAACAGTAACGATGGCGTTTTTTTCGTATCCTCATCCTTTGGAAGTGCATGCAAAGTGGATTTGCAGCGCTGAAAACAGCATCTTCTCGACATGTAGACAACACACAATTGAAACTTTTAAGTGTTTGAGGGCAGGTCAAAGTAGACGTTGGCAGTGGGCAATGAAGACCTGTGTTGGGGGTAATGCATTACAAATAACACGAGTTACATAATCATTACTTTTTTCAAGTAACTAGTAAAGTAATACATTACTAATACATTTACAACAGAATATCAGTTACTTTTTCCAATACGTAATGCAAGTTACTTTGTTTTCCCAATTATTGCCTGACACCTCTTCTGTCCCCATGTTGAGAGAAATTGAGAGCAAGTGCAGATGCGTTGTGTGTGCTGTGTAAACAAGGTTGGAAATTAAGTCTGCAGGAAGGTAGTCCTCTAGCAGCAGGGTTGGCTACCCCTGTTCTAGACCAAATGTGAGCATGCATTTACTCACTTGCACAAAGCATCTCACTTGCACAAAAATGGATTCAAAATAAATAATAACAGTGAAATGCAAACACAGAATATCACACAAACCTGCAATAATTAAATATATTAAATAATACACATAAATTTAATCTCACTTTAGTAGCCGATATCTTTGCTGCTGACCTTCGATGATCCAATTCAACCATACAATAAGCAAAAACGTGCAATCCAGAATGGCAGCACAGCTGAAAGGTTTTTATGAGCTGCGTCCTCTACTGTACAGCTGTCAATTTGCATTTCCTTCAGCCTGAGGCTTATTCATTTTACTTTTGGTGCGAAAGGGCCTTTACATGCCATAAAATATAACTTTTTTGGTTATTCTAAAACAAACAAGCAAGCCCAGCCCAGAAAAAGTAACGCAACACAATACTTTCCATAAAAAGTTACAAGGTCATTTAGTTACTTTTTTAGAGAGCATTCCCCAACACTGATGAGGTTTCGGCAGGTCAGAATCCATTCTTTCTTTTAGGAGACAACTCTCTTTATTTTTCATGCACTTTAATCTTTACACCTTTTGTAGACCCTTTAGCTATATTACACATTGCATGAAAGGTGATATTCGGAAAAGCATAATAGGAGCACTTTAAAAATGAACTATAATGTAGTTATCTTTGTTTTTTAAGCAGATAATCTGTACACTGACCTTTGAACTAAGTAATATTGTTTCTTTTTTTAATGTTTGTCAGGTGTTGTTACACTGTAAAAAATGTTTTTCTAAGTTAAATAAAATGCAGTTTATTGGAGATTTCTTTTATAAGAAAATACAATTTCAGTCTTTTTACTTCAGAGCTTCACGTTTAATGCAATGTAATCCAATGTTTATTATATTTCTGAGTGAAAATTGTTTCTAAACCAAATTTGTTTTCAGTGTAGCTCTTTTGTGATGTTCACATGTGTGTTGTTATTGTTCTTTAACATGTCTCATTCCATTATAAGGATCTTTTGTTTTTTGAAGCTGTTGTGTTGTGGTCAGTGCCAAACTTGTGTAATTTATAGTTAACATGAACATATTTAATTCTCAGGTGTCTGTGATTTTAAAACATGTATATATTTTTAATCAAATGCAATGTCTGTATATATTTTGTGTGAATTTAGCTGAAGACGTCATTGGGGAAAGGACGGGCTTTCATCCGCTACTGTCTGGTGCACCAAAGGCTGGCAGACACTCTTCAGCAATGTCTTATGAACTACAAAATCACATGGTAATGTGTTCACCAATAATTTGACCATCTTAATGGGAACTTCTCTTAATACATGATGTACAGTAATAGCTCAAAATCCATAGTTTTGCTATCTCAAGTGCAAAGTATCATTTGTATTTCCAGTAGACATCTAGTAAAATGTTTATGATATGGCATTAACTAAAAATTAACATGAGAAAAAGAAGTCATGAAGATGTATGAGCAGTATGAAATTCGAGTGTCTATAATATCAGTATTATGCCTGAGACTTGTAAACTTGTAAACAACCAAACTTCTGTGCAAAGCGTAACCACACTCGACTTTCTAAAGTGTGGTGAAGAATTCACACGAACATAATGTGTATGCGATGCATGAAACCAGAAACTAGCTCTACTAACCAACTTTTAAAAGGTTTAGGCTTCAGCAAATTAGTCTACAATAAATTACACGTAATATTTATTTTGCGTATAACACAACATGGTCATGTGAATAAAGAATGTTGATGCATTAGTGCACATCTTAATGCATTAATTAAATAATCATAGTTGTCACCAGTATCACAGCTTTTGCAAAGCTGTTTTTTACATAACAGAAGTGTTGACGCTTCCACCCATTAATTTCTCTTCCTCCAACCGCTTTCACTTCTCTTTTAAAACGTATTGTCTCAAAGTAGCATACTTGCATGTAATGTCAGCGATTTTTTTGGGAATACTGACAACACAGGATATGCCGCCCAAAGGCCTGTGTTTGTGCTATAAAAGCAAAACTAAATTCACTGAAATGCAGTGTATAATATCTCTTAGCAGCAAACATTCTGAGAACTTCAGTTTTGTTTATGATTGGTCACTGATTTTTGTTTATTACAGTGAGTGGTATTATGAACGCAGTCCCTTCCTGAAGTCCCATCTGAACATCGATATCATCAACCACCTGTATGAACTCAATGAGGTCCAGTTTGATGTAGCATCCCGAGGTCATGACCTTGACTCTGACTGGCCTGCTTTTGCTAGGTAATTCATAAAGTTTCAATCTATATCACAATTGTGTACAAGTATTGACTTAATTGAACAATCTGTTTTTAATAGCATCGTTACAATATTTGTAAGCATTTTATTAAATTCGCTTTCACATACAAAAAAACCCGTATAATCCAAATACTTTTTTTCAGTATTTGCATATGAATTAGGGATCTGGAAAGTAGTAGACAAAAGGGCATACTAGCCTACAATGACTTTGTAACTTTATCTAAGCTCTACATAAATGTGTACTTTTGTAGCCTATGTAATTCAAATGAGCAATACAAATTGCATGGTTAATTATGTGTTTTTTTTACACATACAGAAAGACTTTGGGATCAGCTCTCTCATCTGCCCATGTGTGGAAACCACCCAGTCGCTGCTCTAGCGTCAACAGTCTGGTCAGCAGTTACTCACAGGTCTGCTAACACATTAGAAACAGCATTAAAATGAGCAGTTCTGTTCATATATCCGCACAATCTTTGTGCGGATATATGAACCCCTCCTCCAATAATACCCCTCAAAACAAACAAATGAAAAACAAAACTTTTATTTTTATATTTTCAATATATTTATTGGTAACTATTTACAATAAATCACTTTACAAAAATTAGTTAATGAGGAAATCATTTGATACAGCTGTTCATTGTTAGATCATGTTGCCTCAGGTCTGTTAAATAATATTTACGGATACAACTTTTGATTTTAATAATGTAATAGTACATTTTGAAATTAACATAAACTAAGATTAGCCTACTAAATGCTTTAATTTTTTTTATTGATGTTATGTTATCTAATGTTGTTAACTAATGTTAACAAATTGAACTTTATTGTACATTTCTACCATTTTTTTATTTCAGTTTTGTACTTTTTGTAACTTTTTTTAAGTTTAAGTTTTTCTACTAATATTTATATATTTTTTCAGCTTTATTTTAATTTATTTTATTACATTTTTTATTTTATTTATTATTTTACAATTTGTTAGTTTTAGTTAACAATAATAACATTGCATATGTAGTCACATCATAGGCATACATGACTACAATATGGAAAAGGGAGAGGTTTTCAAGTGTGTATCTCAGTAGTTCAATTAAAAAATAGAAAAGAAAGCTGGTACTTACTCTAAAATGTACCATGGCTATTATGCAATTAGCACTGATGTCTGTTTTCCTGTATTTGTACCACCAATTTAATTTTGGATTCAATACCACAATACCAGTAATTTTGTGTCTTTCATTATCAACAATGGAATAGTTTGAGTGATTGGATTTTAATTTTTTTCACTGTTGTCGCTAGTCACTGTTGATTTAAATTAAAATTTCCCCTCATGCAGCAAGCTCAGGAGTTTCTTCCAGGCCAAGAATTTGGCTCCAGTCTACTAGGTGATCTGGGTGAGTTGGGCGAGCTGGGCGAGCTGTCTTGTAGCCCTTCTGAGGACCTGCGCATTGAGCTTGACCAATCAGAGTTGAGACAACAAGAGCTCCAGGAGAAGGTCCAGCAGCTCACCAGTGAGGCAGGTGATCTTAGAGCCGTGCTCAGTGACCTACAGGAACAACTCTTGGCTAAAGGACCTAATCAAGAGAAAGAAGGAGAGCAGTCCTCAGGGGAGCTGGAGTCTCTGCAGACATCAGAACGCAAGCTAGAAGCCAAGCTGAGCATTGCGGAGAACAGAAACATGGAGTTGCTGTCAAAGCTTGACGGAGCTCTGAGCGAAAAAGGACAGCAGGCCGCCAACTACTGTGACTCTGCCTGGACGATCCAAGAGCTCCTGACCAAGCTAAAGGAAGCTGAAGAAGAGAGGATTGAGTCTAAACGAGAGAGCGAAGACCGAGCTAGACTAGCTGAGCGACTTGCCCAGGATCTGACGCTTCAGGAGGAGAAAGTAAAGGAGATGGAAGGAAAACTGGACACATGTAGAGTCTCCGCCGACAAAGAACGAACAACTGCAAAGCAACAGACTGATGAGCTGCAGGTGACCATTAACCGCCTTCAGGGAGCACTATCACTGAAGGAGCGGGAAACTGGGAACTTCCAGACACAGCTTCAGGACGTGCAAAGGGCATTGGAGGCCCAGGAGAGTCAACTGGAGGAGCACAAGAAAAGGATGCAAGATGAGTTGCAACATAAAAGTGTGCTTGAAGAAAAACTAAATACAAAGATGAATGAGTTAGCCACCAGTACCCAGAAGATTCGGCAACTGGAGAATCATAACCAGCGGTTGACTGCAGAGAGTCAGAGCTTTCAAGGGCAAGCCAAGAAACTGGAAGAGTACAAGACCCAGTGCACAAGTTTAATGGAGATCAATGCCAAGCTGATCCAGACTGTGAAAAGAAACGAGGACAGCAGCAAAGAGCTGGCACAAACCAAGACCGCTCTAGAGAGAGATCTGATCACTGCACAGGCCTACGAGAGGCAACCTGTGAGCAGACTGGAGTCAACTGGACTGACTGTAGAGAACCGAAATCTGGAGAAGTGCATACAGAACGGCCAGATAAACAGTGAGGAAACTGAAATTGAACAACTTGGGGAGAAGAGTATATCAAGGCTGGAAGAATTAGACGACAGTGCCGCAGTCCCACAGGAGAACAAGAGAACATCTTCTAGACAACTACTGGAGGCCATTGAATCCTCAAGAACTGAAAATGGAAAATCCACTTCCAGGTTGGCTCTGGCTGAGGCCCAACTTGAACTCAACATGAAGGAGGTTTCCAGACTTCAGGAGGAGGTCATGGAGCTCCGGGCACAGCTATTGGTAAGCTCAGAGGAGAGGATGAAGATCCAGGCTCTGCAGGAAGTGACAGAAGCCTCCAGAGAAGACCTCCGTGCTCAGACGGAGCAACTTAAGTCCCAGGTGGAAGAGCTAAACCGTAGGCATGTGGATGAACTGCTACGCTGCCATGAAAGAGAGGACGCTCTGGTAAAAGAGAGGGACATGGAGGCCAAGGTACAGTCAGAAATCCAAACGAGCATTACTGCCATGAGGGAGGAGCTTAATTTGTTGAAAAAGCAGAACAGCACACTTGTATTTGAAAATGGAGAGGCTTGTGAGGCCTTACATAGGGCTAACACTGAGACAGCAGAGCTCGGGGTTCACGTTTGCATGCTGACGGGCCAGAATGAGGAGGCTAAGTTGCGATGGGAAGAGCTTTCTACCAAACTGCAGGAGCTACAGATGGAGGCACAAGAGGAGGTGGAAACTCTCAGTGATTCGATGAAGGCCATGAGTAACGATAATGCAAGACTCCAAGAGCAGCTAAAGCAGACAGAGGGACTCCCAGAAGCCATGCAGAAATTGCAGGAGAGACTTGAACAGGTAGAGGAAGAGGCCAAAAGCCTCCAAGAGATCCGGCAGAGGGAAGGGGACACACTGAGGTCTCAGTTGAGCGATGAGGCAGAGCACCACCAAAGTCAAGTACAGGTAACTGAAGTAAACAATGCTTATGGGTTTTGGATTTGTCATATTGAACAACTGTTTATAAATGTCTTTCTGAAGGGTCTGAATGAGGAACTGGATGCACTAAGGAGGAGGTTGGAAAACGAAGTTGAGAAAGTCTCAAGTCTTGAGTCCAAAGTGTTGGAGCTTGAGGTATTATGATCTCATTAGATTGCTGTTGAGGCCATTTCCTATTACTTGGCGTTTCACTACATACAGTAATTGACAAACCTGTGAATGAATCAAGTGAATACAATGTTAATGCACTGGATAGTTTGCTGTAGTCTTGGCAACTATTGAACAGCCTACTCTTAGGGGCTGTCCACACAGAACATACTTTTGCTTTCCACTGCGCTGAATTGAGCAAAAGCTTGTGCATTTAAAGCATGATGCAGATGACATAACTTCAGTGTGTGCTTATAATAAACAAAACATTATTATGCTTTGAAGTGGATGCTAATATAATTATCATTTTAGTTATCTTTATGTTATCATTCTTGGTGTGAATGGCCCTTTAGGCTATCATAACGCTATTGAAATTATTTCATATAAAGTATTTAGCATGTGATACTGAATTATTATTATGAATTTTAACTCTGAATTATTCTCTGATAACTCTGAATAATCAGAAGACTTAAATTTTGGAAAATAAACAGGTTTTTGCTTCCATGTGTGTTTTTGTTTGAAAGTCTGTCAACAGTCAGATGATCGAAAAGAAAAATGCCCTCGTTGATGATTCTGAAACTATAATTCATCAGAAAGAGGAACAGATAAAAAACCTCAGACTGGACTTATCAAGGTAAGAGATTTCTGTACTGCTTTTCAGGTAGACCATACATTAAAAATGTAAGCACATAAACATAAAAAACAAGAGTTGGTAAAGGCCTGATCCCTGATCCTTGTTTTTTGTCAGAGCTGAGAAGGAACTGGCACTTGCTCAGCAGTCCTGTCATGAACTGGGTGTGAACTTAAGCAGAAGTGCAATGGAGAAGCAAGACATTGAACTGAAGATGTCTGCTGAGATAGATGACCTTTATCGTACCAAAAAGAACCTGGGGGAGAGACTTATTGAGCTCCTAAGGTGACTTGGACAGTTACCTACTAATGTTTTTTCTGCTCACATTTATCTAACACATCAGGAGATATGTTACCTACAACCCAAAAACTGCACTTCAAAATTCATTTACTGAATCTCCTAAATTGTTGCAAGCTGTTCTTCATAGAACTTTGGCACCCCCTGTAGGGAGAAAGATGCTTTATGGCAGAAGTCAGATGCACTGGAGTTTGAACAGAAACTGAGAGCTGAGGAACAGACAGACAGAGACGTCACATACTGCCTGAGCTGCCGCAATAACTTCGGCTGGATGCTGCACAGACACAACTGCAGGTCAGGGGTGGAACTTTAAGGAACTCTATCTGTTATAAATGTCATGTTCTTGCATTCAAATCAGCTAGATGCAATGGAATAAAGATGCAATGGAGTGTCTGCATGTTAACTCTTCAGAATAACAGCATTTATTTGAAATATCATCTTTTTTAATAATATAAATGTCTTCACTTTTGTCAATTTCGAGAAATTTAATGCATCCTTGCAGAATAAAAGTATTCATTTCTTAAAAAAAAAAAAAATCTTACTGACCTAAAACTTTTGAAAGGTGGTGTATGTTTGAGTTTTCTATATTTTTTGGCAGGCTATGTGGGCGCCCATTCTGTTACTACTGCTGCAATTATGCTGTGAGTGTCCAAGGTGGTGGTAAGGAGCGCTGTTGTAAGGACTGCTTCACTCAGCACAGTGCTGGACAAGAGCGCCACCCAAAGGAAAATTTGGGCAGTCTTTTACGCTCAATGTCAAGCCCAACCCGAACCAGCACACCTAGAGTCCCTGGTGAGATGTTATAGAGCTCAAAACTGATATTCTGATGTGACGTCATATATTCGAAGTGTTCTGGAGGTATACAATAGGCTTTGATAAAATCCAATCAAAATTGTATGTATTATTTAAAGAAAATCCTGACCTTGGCTGTTGTTCTTCTGTGCACTGCTATGGTTCGTGTTTGTAAGGCCCCGTCCACACTACTGCGTTTTCGTTTAAAAACGGAGACCTTTTGCTACGTTTGCACCTCCCGTCCACACTAAAACGGAGACCCAAAACGGAGAAGTTTAGAAACGCTACCGATCCGTTTTTCGTTTTGAATCTCCGGAGGGCGTTTTAGCGTAGACTTTAGAAACGATGACGTAGTAGAGGCTCGCGCTCGGCTCAATGATTGGGTGTCATCAGTCATGGCGTATATCTTTGCTAGCAGCTGTTGTACAAGTCAATTCTGCATTTTACAACGCTATAACTGCCTACATGCGCCGGAGTCAAGCTATTATTCGAGCGATCTGTGACAATTCCCGTGTGCAGCGGCGGCGTTGACCGTACATGGAGCGTCGGTTTGGGGTTAACCCAGAGCATAGTGGGATAACTTTATCAATGAAGTTGTGTTTACACCGGCACGCGCAAGCCCAGTGTTGGTGAATGGTCACGTGATCCGCGTTTTCAGTCGTTTTAATGTGAACGGAGATCAATTCTAATACGCAGCTAAAACGCTGGTGTGGACGGAGATCGTATTCGTTTTAATTATCCGTTTCTAAACTAAAACGCAGTAGTGTGGATGGGGCCTAAGACTCTAATTAGTGCCGCAGTTTACTCCGACTCACCTAGAAAAAGCACACTAGTTCTAGAAATCAAGACTAAGGAAAACACAACAATTTACCGTTTAGGGGGAACTATTCCTTTAAAGGGGCAGTACGGTGGCTCAATGGGTAGTCACTGTCGAGCCCCGGCTGAACCAGGAGTCCCTTCTGTGTGGAGTTTGCATGTTCTCCCTGTATCAGCGTGGGTTTTCTTCCAGGTGCTCCTTGTTATGTCATGACGTAACACAGTCCAAAGACATGCAGGTTAGGTGGATTGGATATGCCAAATTGTGTGTGTGTGTGTGTGTGTGTGTGTGTGAGTCCCAAGCCATGTAATGGGGAGGGGTGGGAAAGACCTGGTACATGGCCAAAAAAAAAACTTCATATGGCAAGAGACGGCCATAGCATCACCAAGAATTGGATACGACTGAAATGGTAATATAGATAGAGATCCCTTTAAATGCAAATGAATACTGGTTGAATATGATAGCTGATTAGACAATAATGAACAAAAATTATTTAGGGTCTGCTGTGTGTGCTTAAATGAGCCCTATTATACTTCTCTTTCTTTTCTTTTTTTTCATTTTCAGCTTTCTTTAGTGTGTAATGTTGCTGGTTGAGCATGTAAAAGTTCTGCAAAGTTACAAAGCACAGAGTCTCCAGCGGGAGTTATTCTTTATATCAGTGTCGCTGTTTCTGAACTCCCTGAAACTTCATTGTAGTCTTGAGTTTCCTTCAGGGAACGAACATGTCATAGTATTCATAATGTAAATAATTCCTGATAAATATATGCAAAAAAAGGGGGCGATGCCTGTTTAAGTTGTGTTAGTAATGTGATGAAACTCGTGGTTATGGTAAGGGTGCGTGACATTTCTGAAACCTAAATAGATAGGCTGCATCCGAAAACTGTAAAATGCAGCGTTCGGAGGACGCATTCCAAGGTAGGAAGGCATCAGGGCACGTCCGAATCTAAAGTTAGCTTCACTTCCTGTCTCCTATGATACCTTCATCTGATCGATTTTTGAAGGCAGCATAGTTGTATCCTTCACTGCCTCTGATATCCCACAATCCTGTGCTTTACATTCTGTGACAGTTCTGACAGTGGGAAGAGAAGTGCTGTAACAATGTAAAATATGTGAAAAATAATGTGTTTTTGAACATTCAACAATGAAAACCTATTCTAGTAGACCCCAAAAACAAAATCAAGATTTTATTAAAGGGCATAATAGGTCCCCTTTAATTCTGCGTGTAATGTGACTGTTGTCCTCACAGGGGTACTGAAGTCCCCTCGGCCAGATGACGCAGCGTATGACATCATCACAGAAGAGGAGGCGAACTGTATCCATGACAGCGACTCATACTACACTGCACTGTCACCAGAGACACAACAGCTGTGAGAGACACACACACACACACACACACACACACACACACACACACCTGTCTTGTTAGCACAGATTCTCTGCACTAAACACAACACTCTGAATTTGTGCTGAAGTAACAAACAAAATTAAATTTGCTCCTGCTGAGCTAAACTCAGTTCCATTATTGGACTTATTTATCAGAGCAAATTTGACATGAACACATGGCGCCTGCCAGTGTATCTTAATCTACTGCTAAGTAAACTACATGATATTGAAACTTTCTGGTTTTGTTTTAATTTCATTTGTATCACTTGGTATGATATGTGCACTTTTTTTATTCTGTGATTAAATAAGTGTACGACAGGAAATTAAAATGTAAGTTCATATATGTTTTCAGAAGCAGCAGTGACATCGCCAGCACAGAAGATTCAGACGAGCTGATTGGCTCGGTTCAGGATGCTGAGATCTGCCTGCTGAAATCTGGAGAGATGACGTGAGTGAGACACAATGCTTATTGATGGATCCTGATGCCTTTTATGATTTATGCTAAATTATTGTTATTATTATCATTGTTATTATTATTATTATTACACTTACAAAAAAAATATTTAGTATTGCAATGCTTATTTATTCCCATGACCAGCGATGTTGATCATATTTTTTCACATCTTTAAATTCTTAATGGAAAAAGTAATAACTTCTTATGTATAGTTAGTAAGGTAGTTGTTAAGTTTAGGTATTGGGTTGGGTTAAGGGATGTAGAATATGGTCATGTAGAATAAGGCATTAACTTGTGCTTCATAAATAGTAATAAACTGTTAATATCCTACTTATATGCATGCTAATAAGCAACTAGTTAATGGTGAAAAGTGGACCCTAAACTGAAGTTACCCTCATTTGTTTACTGAACTGTGGGAAAAAAAAAATATATATACTGTATTATTTGCAGTGAGTTGTAAAGTATTTAGTGAACTGCCTTTAATTTATGCTGATTTTAAATAAATAAAAAATATATTATGCATTTTTAATTTATGTATAATCATTATGCATTTTTGTATTACAGTAATAAGAATCTAATAAAAAAACTCAAAAGGAAAACTTTCAGATGCATTACATTAATGAGAATTTAATGGAGAAATGTTGCATATTTGTCATGAAAATAAATAATGTCAAATTGAATCTAGTATTGCAATATTTATTAATTTCCATGACCAGCAACGGTGACATCAGTGATGTTGTGTTTCACAGGCTGTCTGTGCCGTTCAGTGTAAAGGACGTGAATCAGTTTGGCGATATGTCCAGAGAACTCTTCATCAAGTCCAGCTGTTACAGTGTTATTCTCATAACCGCTGCACATCCGGGTCCTACGATCAGCTGGGTCTTCTCCTCTGAACCCAAGAGCATCGCCTTCAGCGTGGTGTACAGAGAGAACACAGATACACCTCTAGAAGAGGCCAAGGTAATGTGCTGATTAGAAATGTAGCTTGTTGATGTTTTTACTATGTATATTTATACCAAATAATGTATTTTATAATATATATACCAAATATTTTTTAAATTTCAGTTAGATTACAGTTAGCATTCTACTTCAGTTACTGCACATATCATATCAAAGCTTCCTAAAATTGAGTGATTTTAGAGTTAAATATGGTAACACCATACTTTATATTTTTCCTTGTTTTTTATAGGCATTTGTTAAAAGGTTTGCGTTTATTTAGATTCAAGATGAATGGCGTGCTCAATTCCTTTTGAGTTTGATTTGGGTGCTCTTCGGTCCAAGGTAGAACATCTAAGAGACGGTGTAGAGAAAGAATTCTCTGATAACCGAGGCACTCCTTAATTAAAATGTCTTTATTACAAAAATGACATGTCCTAAACGGACAACTTTAAAACGCCCACGCGTAGCGGCATGGAGCCTTCTTCAGGGCATAGTGAAGCAGATAGAAAACTGATCTTATAATGACAAAGACACACAAGTAGAAGCAAACACACAGGTGCAGGCAATCAGTGTTAAAGGTCTACAGGTAATTACTAAGACACGCCTCTCACACGGTTCCCAGCACTAAAACTATAAATCACAATAATAAACAGAAACACAGGCAACAAATAGCATGGATATATATTCATGCATACATTGCTATGGCACGTCTCTCACATGCTTCTCAGCAACGAATCTGTTGATCACAATAATAAACGAAAAACATACAAGCAACAAAATAGCATGCATATACACTCATGCATATATTGATAGGGCACGCCTCTCACATGATTCACAGCACTAAAGCTGTTGATTACATTGTAAGTAAAAAACACAAGCAACAGGTAGCACGCATATATTCATGAATACACATTCATGCATACACATATACATATACAATACATATGAAAAGTAGATAATCACAAGAAAAAACAATATTACAGAGTCACAGAAAAGGTCTATAATCTATCTCCTCATTTAATCCTGGATAGTCCATTGCTTGCGTTTGCGTTTATTATTATTATTTTACACATCACCTTAGAAAGATACTACTACTACAGCTTGATGTACTCAATGTAATATCCAAACAAACTACAAAAATATGAAGCAGCACAACCATTTTCAACATTGATAAGAAATGTTTCTTGAGCAGCAAATCAGTATATTAGATTGAATGATTGCTGAAGGATCATGTGACACTAAAAACTGGTGCTGAAAATTCAGTTTTGCATCACAGGAATAAATTGCATTTTAAAATATATTAAAATAGAAAACTGTTACTTTAAATTGCAATAATATTTCACATTATTACTGTAATTTTGATCAAATAAATGCAGCCTTGGTGAGCACAAGGAACTTCTTTCAAAACTTTATAATATCTTACAGACCCCTTAACCTTTGAACAGTATTTATATTATTGTATAGTATACTGTACTACTATATTAGATGTAAGAGATATTTCTGACTACAGACAGATACCTTGAGGTCCAAAAGGGATTTGGATTCAGAAGAAAAGTGAAAGTCCCTTGATAATGCTATGTGTGAACAAAGCTGTAACTTTTAACAGTTCCACTGCTCTAGTATAAGATGTTGTCATGGAGTTTGCGCTAGACAAGTTCTGTAGGAGCTAATTACTCTACATCATTTACCATTTTAACAAACTAGTATTATATACAAATTTTCCAGCAGAACACATTAACAATAATCTCTGGACAGTAACAGTAGACTGTAACAGTATTTTCCCAGCGGTGTGTGAAGCAGTTGCAATAAATATATATGATGTCGAAAGCCGTTGCTTGCGTGAATAACAGATGTGGTACCTTAACTGAAGAAGTTAATTCAGCAATTTTACAGCAAATTAAAATGAACATGGCTGTATCTGTCAAACACACATTGCAGTGAGTGTTGACAAAAATAGACCACAGCACTTTTCTCCTGTGGCGATGACATCTGGACAGCTTTAGAAATCGTAGTGTAATAATGAATGGATCCTAAATCCTGGTTCTTATTTTTCAGGTTCTGATCCCTCTGACAAGATGTAAATCTCATAAGGAAACAATTCAGGGTCAGTTGAAGGTCAGGAACACTGGAGAATACACCCTTATCTTCGACAACTCCTTCTCCAGGTTCGTACTGAGATCAGTTCGTTTCTCTTCTGTCGTTCTCTCTTAGTGCGTTTTCACATCTGGCTCGTTTCGGAACCTGGTGCGTTTTCTCTCTTAGTTCGTTTGGTTTAGGCATACACCAAAACAATCGCTCCGATATTGGCTGAACGAGGTGGTCTCGGCCTGGTTAAAAATGAAGTCTGGACCAACAAACCATGCGGTATCATAATTCATAACGGCAAATGTGTTATATCAAAAGCAGCAGTGTCTGACTCTGTGAGTGTGAGCATTTTAGTTATCGCAGTTGAACACCAAGGAGTGTCTCTTCATCTTAAAAGTTTGTGTAATTGCTCTTCTCCGTGCATTGCAAGAATGCTGTCTTGACGAATACTTGATTCCCGCTTTAACTGCATTATAATTTAAAATGATATAAATACGTAATATATATACGAGAGTTGGACAATGAAAATGAAACACTGGCCAATATAGTGTTTGAGGTTTCATGCTTATTTACGTATGCATGGCCTGGTGGCCAATCTTCACTGATTTTATATTCCATCAGTAAGAGCCGAGTGTGACGGTTGAATTCGCAGAGGATTAGGACAGCTATACATAAAATATGCAATCCACACAACATAATGGGAGACATATCAGAGCTCCTAAGAGGACAAAATGTAGGTGCGCTTCTCGCTACAGGAAGTATTTTTGGTGTCTTGAGAGCTACGGTATCCAGGTTAATGTTGCCATACTGTAACTGTCTACACAAGAGGAAGCTGTCTGAAAGGGATGTCCAGGTGCTAACCTGGATTGTATCCAAAAAAAGCCCCCCAGAAATCCACAGCTGCAGCCTCACTGCGCACCTCGACTCTCCTGTTTCCACCAGAAATGTGCATCAGGAGCTCCACAGAGTCAATATTCATGGTCGGGCTGCTATAGCCAAACCCATGGTCACTCATGCCAATGCCAAATGTCGGTTTTATTGGTGCCAACACTGCAAATCTTGGGCTGTGGACAATGTGACACATTCTCTGATGAGTCCACCTTCACAGTTTTTCCCACATCCGTGGGAGTTACGGTGTGGAGAAGCTTCAAACAGAGTCAACACCACTGTTGCGTGCCTGCAGTGAAGCACAGGAGTGGATCATTGATGGTTTGGGCTGCAGTATCATGGCATTCCCTACTGTGCTTGATGGACAGGTCCCTGCCAAGAACTACCGAACCATTCTGGAGAACCATGTGCACCTAATGGTTCAAGCATTGTAAACTGAAGAGGGTGCCGTGTATCAGCATGATAATGCACCATTACACACAGCAAGACTTGATGAACATGAAAGTTAAACATCTCTCATGGCCTGCGCAGTCACCAGATCTAAAAAGGTTTTGAGCCACTGTGGAGTATTTTGGAGGAGCAGGTCAGAAAACGTTGGCCTCCACCAGCATCTCATAGTGACCCGGCCACTGTTCTGAAAGAAGAATGGCTCAAAATCCCTCAACCACTGTGAAGGACTTGTATATGTCATTCCCAAGACAAATTGATGCTGTACTGGCCCGCAAAAGGAGGCCCTACACCATACTAATATATCATTTATCAGTTAAAGCGGGAATGACGGCAGCATTTGTATAAGTGTTTGCGACACTGCGACACGACAGCTATAGATAAGGCTGCAAAACGAACTTTTCAATACATTTAAGGGATGACGCAGAGGAACGTAAACAGGTGAATGCTGACCAATAAGAGGAGAGTTTTTCTCACATGTGACTTGCATAAACATTTTGGTACGCTTCGAAATGTTGCCTTGTGAAAGCGAACCAAACCAAGGAAAAAAATGCAATATTGTAACAAATTAAGCCCGTTTCAGAACAAAGCAAACTATCTACAAGTCTGACGACATGTTTTGTTGTTCTTCCTACTTGCAGGTTCGTCTCAAAGAAGGTCCTGTACAAACTGAGTATAGAGAAGCCAGAGGAAGCCAATGGAAGTGATTGTTCTTCATAAGACAACAAAACACGCACACTATTCTGTCTGTGCCAGGTCAAGGGACTGCTTGTCGAGGATTATGTCCATTCATCAAGCCAAACATGGTGCATGATGCTGCTTTCACAATCACATGAAGGAAATAAGAAAATAGACTTCACATGGAAATGAAGGACATTTTAGGATTTTATTTATTATATTATTTCCCCCCCTTAAATTCTTGTCCTATTAATAATGGAAAAATCTATTTTCTAAAAATCTAATTCAAAAACCACATCCCTCTTATGATTGATTTTAACATATTTTTGGGGAAACTCTAATAGCCAGAATGGCACAATATCTCTGACATAGTTATCAATAAATCTAAAGGGAATGGATGGCAAAAAAAAAAAAAAAAAAAATCTGAAATGCAGTGAAATATAGAAATATAGCTGTGTGGTCAGTAGTAAAATAGATGAAGGTTGAAGGATAGGAGATTATGCACTACAGAAGAGCTTTATTATTGTTTTGTCATTAAATTAGTAAATGTAGATATGCTGAAAATGCTTCTACGACATCAGGTTTCTCACATACGCCTGTCTTTTTAACATTCTGTGTTAACTCTTTACAATGAGTTTTCATTTATGAACAATAATTAAATGCATTAACTGATTTTTACAGCAGTATTACCCTTTGTTAATGTCAGTTAATAAAAATGTTAATGTTCATCTTAGTTCACAGTGCATTAACTAATGCTAAAAACTTTTGATTTTAAAAATGTAGTTGTAAATGTTTAGATTAACATTAACTAAGAATAATAAATGCTGTAGAAGTACTGGCCATTGATAGTTCATGTTAACTTATGTAGTTAACTAATGTCAACCAATGAAGCCTTATTGTAAAGTTTTGACCATTCTTTTATAGCATCTGTCTAATATCAATATAAGTCTAACACAGATGCTAAATATGGAGGAATTTGTGTCTATAGATTGGAAACTAATATATTTTCTTGTGAGGTTAGTATATCTCACATTCTGGGCATCATGGGCTTTTTTAAAGCTTTATAAGTCAACTAAGACTTCTATGCAGACATAAAATCTGTATTCTGAAAGGACATGTGCACTGTAATAAGAGGCAACTCAGAGGGGCAACTCCAGTTCTTGGCAGTCTTGTTTATTATCAACCAAAAAAAATGCATTTTCATTCAGCTGACGCCAGGCAAAAATATATAAGCAATAACTCAGTGACTGTTTTTTTATTTTATTTGCAAAAATAAGATTTTATGGCAGCCACACAGTGCAATGACTTAAGATGGTGAATATTGTAAATGGCACTTTTTGTTATATCTAAATTTTAATAAGAAGCATTGATACTTTAATAAAAAGCATCAACACTGTTGCACTTTCTGAATGTGTTTTAGAGGCTGATGACGGTGCTTGATCAGAGGACTGTAAGCATATCAGAGTGACTCGCAGTCATTTTTTACTGTAAAGAGCTGTGATATAACAGTAGTGAAATGGAGCTTTTGAAATAAAACTACCTGATGGCATGACTCTCCTTTTTTAATCCCCCACCCCCCACCCCTAACTTTATATCTACAGGTATAAATGTGTTTTCCCCCTTAGGCCACAATTGATATCTAATTGTTTAAGTTGAGTTTGCGATATGTAAGACATGCTGTCAATTTCCATAGAAATTGGTATTGAAGCTTGTTTCTGGAAGCTTGTTTCCGCCATGGAATAGAACAATTTAAAAGATAAATTCTCACAGTTACGAGTTTACATCTCGCAATTCGTACTTTTCCCCCCTCAGAATTGCATAAAAACTCGCAATTGCAGAAATAGACTTTTTTTTCTTAGTTTATCTCACAATTCTGACTTTATAACTCGCAATTGCTATTTAATATCACGCAATTCTGAGAAGAAAAGTAAAATTGTTAGATGTAAACTTGAGCGAGAAAGAAAGTCAGAATTGTGAGATTCCATAAGCTTCCATATGTTTCCGCCACAGAATAAAAAGACTTTTTATTCAGATTTTTGCGAGTTTACATTTTGCAATTCTGACATTTTTTTTCTTAATTGCGTGATATAAACTCGCAATTGCCAGTTATAAAGTCAGAATTGTGAGATATAAACAAGTCTTTCTTTTTCATGAAAATTTGACTCGGAATGGCGAGTTTATATCAAACAATTCTGAGAAAAGAAGTCAGTATTGCGAGATAAACGCAAAAAAGTTGCAATTGTGAGTTATAAAGTCAGAACTACGAGTGTATATCGTGCAATTCTGACTTAATAACTCGCAATTGCGAATTTATATCATGTAATAAAAAGTCGCAATTATCTTTTAAAATAGTTTTATTATGTGGCGGAAATGAGCTTCCATAAATTAGTCTTAATTAATTAATTCAGGTCTATTTAAAAACAAATTATATTAGCTTTAATTTAAGTTAACAATAACAAAACGGTGTATGATTTACATTTGGCAGACGCTTTTACATTGCATTTCAAGGTACACATTTACATTCTTATCAATTCTTGCTTTCCCTGGGAATCGAACCCATAACCTTGGTGTTGCAAGCACCAACCTCTACTGTTTGAGCTACAGGAAAGACCTCTAAATTCTTGTTGTATAGATCAAAACACATAAGCCTTTTTAAATAACGTGTAAATAATGCACTCTCATGACATTGCCATCTGTTCCATTAATATTTGTGTGTTCTTCACTGTGAAAAGCTCAGTCTCTGTCCACTAAGGATATTGATTATTCCCTGCCAGGGCTGCATCCAGTCTTGCTCGGATGCCGGTTGCCCGTGGTTACGGCAGCGCTGCAGAGGGCGAGCGCTGTTGATCTCACCGTGAAGTCCATCTGAACACAGCGTGTTTGTGGTGCAGAGTCCAGACCATTTCCCAAGGTTAATGAACCCATTGTAAATCAGATCACATCCTGTGACCAGCCTGCAATGATCAGAGATTTACACACATACAGGCAGAGAGAGAGAGAGAGAGGGAGAGCTGGGGGAGGATGTGTAGAAAAAATGTGAGTTGAATATCAATGTGTATCACACACACACACACACACACACACACAAATACATATTCAGGATTTGGGTAAACAGATGTGATCATTTAAGAGTCAACCTTTAAAAAACACACACTGTTTTTTTTAACAAGTAATCTGAATTAGTGGCTGTGATCAGAATAGATTTCTACCATACTTCTGCAGTATTTAGTAATATGTAACATTTATTCACGAGTGAATCACTGCTGAATTGTTACAATTTTGCAAATCGATTCAGTGTCAATATCACGCCATTGTTTTGATGTCTTTTCGTACAGATCTTGTTAAAAATGTCAGCTTTGATTTAATAAGTATTTTGTTAACCATTTTACAGCATTAAGCTTTATTTTGTCATTTTAACAAAAACTGACAGTTATAAATTAAAAGTTCTGTCACAGATCTCTAGGTCCTTATCTCAATCTGCTTGCAATCCCATCTTTCTCTAAAGGGCACAGCTGATTGGTTGCTGTATCAGTAGCCAATGCGCTCGCTGCTTAACCTTCAAATACTGGTCAGCATTGTCTAGCAGTGCAGCGCGCTTTCAGAAGCCCTCCACCTTCCCCAGCTCCACCTGTATAGATCTGCTACGGGTAATTCACGGACGCTTTGTTGTACAGCAGCAGAATGTCTTGCTTGCTCACAGCAGTGTGTCGTGTATGTATTGGCAGTAGCAAGTCACGTACTTCACACCAAGACCAACATGTTAACATCATCATATTCATTACCAACCAAACACTCAGAGAGTTGTCATGACAGAACTACATTTTGCATAGAATAGCAGTGTGCTCTGTACCCCAAAAAACAATTCACTTAACTTATTCCTAAATGATCACTATAGTGTGTATTCAAGTTCACACTTGTAGTTCGGTTCGCTTGGTTCGTTTGGTCTGGACCCCCGACCGTTCACAATGGCATTTTAACACTGAACCTAAAGATACCGAACCTAATGTATAAAGATATGTTCACAACCTGATTGGTCGGCTTTTATGACGTATATTTCACGACATAACTTACCGAACATCCAAAACAAGGCTGTGTTCTGGGCTAAATGCACTCCCTGTATGTGCGTAGCTACATATGATGGTATTGACCAGCTGAGAACTCGTGAAGAGCTTATAAAATGTGCAAAGGAGTCAAAACAGTGGCAGGAATCCCTCCGTCACACACACAAGAAACATCTGTTGCTAGGAGATCTTCAATGAGTAACATTGCGACTGTGACGAGAGAAAAAAAAAGGAATGCTTGAGCATTCTGTCCTTTTTATGGTCACATCTTGTGACATCATGTCCCGTTTTTGGGTTAGTTTACATGTCTTTGGTCCATGTTCATATTTCTATCGAACCGCACCAGAGTTCACTTCAAGCGGATCAAGACCCATCTTTCAGCGCTCTTGGTCTGCTTGTTTGGTTCAGATGGCCGCGTTCACACGTATGAACCGCACTAACAGAGCAATCGCACCAGGGTTCGGTTTAATCGAACCAAACATGCCAAGTTTGAACACACCCATAGTTTTGGGCACATTTTGCATCACAGGCAGGGCACTTTCAGTCCTTTCCATCTGTGTTTCCTGGCTTGGAATGGAATACTAGCATACTGCAGCACAATACACTGTATTTGCATACCTTTATTTTTATTTTTATGGAATGCTTACATCGACAAATGTTACAATACAATATACTTTATTGTCCCCTTAGGGAAATTTGTCTTGGGGCTCAGTGTATGCTAAACAAAAAAATTATTTTGATTAATATATCTTTTGACAGTCCAATCAAATAATGAGTCAAGAAAGATTTACGCCAGAAATAGAAGGCAGAGCACAATGCATTATGGGATATAGTGCGCAGTGTTCTTTGGTTGTATACTGCAGAAATCTTTTACGTACTACAGTTTTGTACTATGCTATTCCTAATGTTTTTCCAGTCATATCCATCCTATATTCAGTGTAACAGTAACCTCTTAAGGAAAAGGACACTATTTTTGAGCCCTCGTTGGCTTATTGAAGTGTCCATATCATATCAGGCTCTGTTAAAGGGTTAGTTCACCCAAAAATGAAAATTCTTTCATGTTGTTCCAACCCCGTAAGACTTTCGTTCATCTTCGGAACACGAATTAAGATATTTTTGATGAAATCTGAGAGCTGGATCACTCCTCCATACTAGTACTAGGCTTCTTCAGGGATTGAACTTGCCGGCCTCGAAAAGTTATTAAAGACATCGTTAAAATAGTCCAAGTGACTACAGTGGCTCAATCTTAAGTTTATCAAGCGACGAGAATACTTTTTGTGCGCAAAAAAAACAAACAAAAATAACGACTTTATTTCAACTATTAATTTCCTTCTCTGTGGGCCTCGAGTCAGTTCACTAGTGTAATAGCGTAAGCTTCTGTTGTTGTACGTCACACGCATCACGCACATGACCAGCGTCGGCCAATAGTGAGCCTACGTGTGACGTAGCTCTACGGAATCACACTACGTTAACTGACTAGAGGCCCACAGAGAAGGACATGAATAGTTGAAACAAAGTCGTTATTTTTGTTTGTTTTTGCGCACAAAAAGTATTCTCGTCGCTTGATAAACTTAAGATTGAGCCACTGTAGTCACTTGGACTATTTTAACGATGTCTTTAATAACTTTTCGAGGCCGGCAAGTTCAATCCCTGAAGAAGCCCATGGACTAGTATGGAGGAGTGATCCAGCTCTCAGATTTCATCAAAAATATCTTAATTCGTGTTCCGAAGATGAACGAAGGTCTTACGGGGTTGGAACAACATGAGGGAGAGTAAATAT